AATTTAAAACTCATAGTGGCCCCCGAGCCAGAAAGTTTGCCCACCCCTGCTCTTGATACTCTTTTCAACATGATATACTTTCACTTTTTTTATATTTTTAACTTACTATAGACATATATTTGACTAAGCTTTATATTACTAGCATGTTTGTGTTTGATGTCAGAGGGCATAACATGCTCTGACACACTTCCTCTCGTGTCTTCAGGGACATGTTTGAGCAGCTGTCTGATATGGAGAGATCTGGAGCCAGCAACCCTTCAGAAGCAGGGAGGAACGTCCTGCAGCCCCTCTGAGCGCTGCACACACACCCACCGCTGCACCCTAACAGATGGAGCTCTCCTCTGAACAACCTGGAAAACCACTGATTGCTGTCCTTTTGTGGTGGTCTTCAGGCACTCCTTTCCCTCTACAGATCACTAAATGCCCTGTTAAATTAGCACCTGTACATGCCAACACGGGTGCTAAAGACTATTTTAACACACCAGAAATGCAGTTACAAATGTTCAGTGGATCAAATGTTGCCTCCATGTTTTTGGGGCCGGAGTCTTTGTTTGCTATGATTTTTATCAAACAAAGGTTTTGTAAATGTTTTTTTATTTGTTTCTCGACAATGCCGTTCTTTCGGACTTTCTCTTAAAAGCTACTTTCACACATCAGATGCTACTGGTGCTTCATGACTTGTATGTTTTGCAGACCCTTTATTTCCCATATAAACTAAATAAAGATATATTCTATGTTGGAGTATAAGCTATTATAGAGTTAGAGGGGGTGTCGTATTTAGCGGGTACATTTGGTGCAATATTTATGTTTGGCACAAACTGGCCAATTCAAATCCGCTTTCTGTCTGAGTGTGTAGAGGGTTCACTGTTGCTTTGCGTGACTGACCAACTCATCTGTGTGTTTGTCTCAATATTATAGATTTCGGGGGAAAAAAGCTCAATAACAAAGTCTGTTTTAACTGAGCTTTTCTCAGTAAAGCCTACTTTTCTGTTTTGGGGATTTTGACTTTGTGCCTCCCAAGAAAACTTTTATAAATATGTATACTAGCTTTACTTTGAAAGATGCACAACCTTGTCGCTTTTGAAAATGTTTGTCACAATGTGTAAGTCATATCTCCTTTATAAAAAGCCAACAGATTTTCTATTTATTGCAACATCGGGTTGATTTCCTTTGAATGAACCTGTGAAGATATGCCACGGCAAATACAAGTCATAAATACTAGACCACCAGGGAAGCTAGCTTTAGCCTAATGTCTTTAAGCGCATCATCTTTAAGGCCAGTCTACAGAGCGACACTCTGTTCATATAGCTCCTATGAGGCGTGCTTGCTTATAGAAAGATTTAAAAGTATTTTGTTATTCCAATACTAGACACTGGTTGTACAGCTGTTTTTGTGACCACTGTAAAAAATCAAATCACATTTTAGTTCACCATGGCTAATGTGCAACGTTAAAACATGGTGTCTGCAGAGTTCCTCCCAACAGAAGAAAATCTATTTAACAGCTTTATAAAACATGGGTTATAACCAGATATTGATACCTGCCATATTAGTGGGATTTATTAGGACAGTATTGACGTTTACCTCCGCAGGCAAAAGTGACTTGTTCCCATTTTTTTTTTTTCGTCAGCCTTGTATTTACATTTGTCCCAGATGCAGTGTAAAGAGGGTTTGATGTATTTGTGAAGTAAAGATGAACAGCTTTTTCTACCCTTCATACACAACTGACTCTTCCTAAAGCAGATTTTAATAAAAAGATTCTGGTGAAAGTGCAGAGGCTTTTTCATTTGATGTTGAAAACACTTTAATAACACTCAAATCCAGTGTTGGAAAAGGACATCCACAATCATGCCACTGTATGTGTACTGCCAGGCGGTTCAAGTCCATGGTTGCAGGGTAGTGAAAACAAAATGAAGCACCAGAGAGTGAAGAGAGCCGCCTGCTGTCACCTGTCCTGACTGCACCTCTTCATCAGAGGCTCCAGGCTCCTCCCTGTCAGTCTGTTGTACTCACTGAGGATGTAGTTCTCCCTCTGCAGCATCTGGAAACATTTCAAAACATATTAGCCCCTATGCTGCCATGCAAACAACCTTCAGATTCACTTTTTTATCATTTACTCATTCATATAGTGCACATAAACACTTTCAGCCATTTTCTTACAGTATGGGGCTACTGTATTTTCCTTTAATATCATTAAATTCAAAAGACTGCCCAAAGACTAGTAACTTATTCTAAACATTCTTACAGATTTTTACGAGCCAGCACAGAAAAATGGGTTCCAACATACTAAATGTGTTTGGATTTATCGGATTAAACCAAATGCATTTTAGAGATGGATAGTGGAAAAATGCTGGAAAAAAATGTATAGTATCTTGTTTGTGCCCTTTTGTGGAAAGGGTCAGTTCACTCAAATTTCCAAAAAAGATCTCTTGCTAATCAGGTTTATTGCCAAGTAGGTTTGCACATACAAGGAATTGGCTGTGGTGTACTATTGTGCACAAACACAGTAAGAGGAATTAAGTACAAAAAGATTATCAAAACCTTTTTTTTATTAAAAAAATATTTTTGAATTAAAATATACAAAAATCATGTACAATAAAAATATGAAAAATACTGTGTGCAGTATATCAGAGATGTATCTTTATTGTTTGTTTAGAAATGCCTATCTTTAAGGTTTTTCCCCCAGACAACAAAAAAATGTCTGGCTTAAGAAATTACAATTGAATAATACAACATCCAATTCGCAATCCCAAAACCTTTCTGGAACTACTTGTATTACCAAAGAAAATGTCCCATTCTTTAGATTATCAAGAGTAATGAGGAGAGTGCTATGGAAAGACATTTCGGACAAATATCTTCGATTAAAAAATCCCAGAGGCGAGTAAAAAAGACATACGAATCGCCTCAATTGTATTGTTAGTGGAGGCAGAAATATAGGACAATTACAACTCAGGAGTTAAGACAGAAAATGTTACTCTGTATTTTGATAAAGTGACTCTTTAAATGTGTTTTTCACATCAAAATCCTTTCCCCATGTGATCCCCACACTCACCTCTGTCCATTCTTCTTCTGTCTCGTGTCTGTAGCCTAACAGGTGACAGATCCCATGTGCCGTGACAGCCTGAAACACGACCAAAAGAGGAGCAATATGAGCTATTGTCAGACAAAGTCACTGCAAGCAGGATTGTGAAGTCATAGTGTGTGAAATAATCAGCCTGCATTTCTAAAAACTTGCCGTAACTGAATGTGATCTGGCCGGCGTACAGAGAACTACTCACAGTGAGGGTCTCATGCAGATCCAGAGATTCCTCCCGACACTGCTTCATCACATACTCCACCCCCAGGAAAATGTCCCCAAGGTTCTGCTCGTCCCTGTGAAGGGGGAGGGGCATCTTGCCAGGCCTCAGGTCCTAAACACGGGTCAAAGTCACATTTCAATTGGGATTGTGTCAAGAAGTCCATCAAAAACTAGCAGAGGAATGATCTTATCTTATATAATAAAACTAATTAAGCTGAGCAGCGTTTTTCAATTCAACGGAATAGGTTTTATTGGCAAGACATTTGACACAAGAGAGACTATTAAGATTTGTAAATAGAATAAATTAGACACTGAAATTAGTTAACAAAGTAGATGGTTTTGTTACAATTTCATATTTAACTCTAGACAAACTAAAACAAACAAAGTAATAATAAAGGTATAACACAAGACTACGGAAGAGGATTCAGATTAACCTTTATTGATCGGCCTAGTGGGAAATGTAATTTTCCACTCTGTTTTCCACATATTTTCAGTGGTGTAAAGTACATTTACTCAAGTACTGTGATTAAGTGCCCCTTTACCAGCTTTAATGCATCAATAATTATAATCATATCATATTATTCTGAAATGTACCAATCTGCATAATGAGTACTTTTACTTTTGGTACTTTAAGTATGTTTTGATATTAATACTTGTACCTCCTTGTACTTTTACTCGAATAATATTTTGATTGCAGGACTTTTACTTGTAACAGAGTATTCCTACAGACTGGTACTTTTACTCAAGTACAAGATCTGACTACTTCTTCCACCTCTGCATATTTGAATACACACACACACAGTACAAATACACACATGCATTTTTGTTCTGATAAGTCAGTTGTTTTGTTTTTTCTTGCCCTTATCCTTATCTAAGACATCTTATATTTAGAGAAAATAAGAAAAAACTAAAGAGAATTCAATGATAAATAAAATAAAATGTTAATAGTTGGAATAATACAGGACATAGACCATTTTTAATCTATATTTACGAAAATATATAAAAAAAGAGGAGATGGTAGTAGGTGGAATATGGCATGTAGAAGCACATTTATAAATGTGTATCTATCTATCTATCTATTAACATGTAGTGGTATTTACCTCGTAGAATGGAAATGAGAGGACATCTGTTGGCACATTTTTCTTTCTGTATATGTTATTAATTTGCTGGATCCTGTGGTTATCCACGCAGACTATGCCCAAATCAAACTTATGGATGCCCAGGATGTGTCGCAGTGTCTCCACATCCTTCCGCAGCCGGGCTCGGCGGAGGGGGACCTGCTTTTGGAGGTTCCGTAGTATTACTCCCATTTTAGAATTCGGCGTAAAAAGATCTAAAGAACAAATAATTATTTAGAAATTCCTTACACATGTGTCAACGGTAAAACTCGCTTCCGCCGACGGACAGTTACAATAATTATAATACGGTGGGCTTATGAGAACGGTTGATCAGCTTTGCGTTAGCCACGAGCGATGTTCAGCCATTCCGGTCAACAGAGAGCAAGGTGACACGTCCCGTGAGTAACGATAGCAACAAATAGGTCCCCAAAAATATTATATAAGCTTCTTCTGGACTGTGGAATAAGGCAATACTGTCAATACATTAAAACAGTTCTTTCGTTAATGAAAGTGGTCCCTTGACCGTTCACAGCCGGTTAGAGCAGTAAAACGGTCGCAATGTTTTCCGGGGGACCTAAATATGTGTCGGACCGGAACCGGATGTGGCAACATGAGTTTAGGTTTGAACCGAACTGAACCAAAAGTCAACAAAGCAAACACAAACTCTGAGCGGTGAGTTTTGTTTCTTTTGAAATGTGCCTACTTTTGCATTATATCCTAAGGGTTGTGTTGTTGAGTCGATATAAAAACATTAATGGCGACGGAACAAGCTAAGTTAAGTTAAACAATGTTTGGAGGGTTAGCTTATGCTAGCGACTGTGTCATGTGTTGTTATCTGTTCCTGCCTTGAAAGTGTTCTTTTCACTTGTACGCGTCAGGTTGTTACACGGAAGAACCTGACAGACGAGGATGGTGTTATAGTTCGAAAGCCTGTATGAGAAACATAGCGTTGAACAATTAGCCAAAGATAGTAAACATCCGCTAATACTTGCGCCATGAATCCATCCAATCCGTTTGGAAGTCCACAAGGTGGAGCTTTCCAGGCCCCAAGTAACACAATGAAGGCTGGTTTATTCCCATCATTTGGACAGCAAAGTTCTAGCAATCAGCCCCAACCTATGGGCTTTTTCCAACCATCAGCGTTTGGACAACCTTCTGCCTTAAATCAGCCCCCGTCTCAAGGAAATGCCATCTTTGGACAGACCCCTGCCTTTGGACAGACATCAACACAGCCTCCCTCGCAGCCAACAATCAGCCAGGCTCCAGCATTTGGACAGCAAGCGTTAGGAATGAGCAGCTCAGGCTTTGGAAGTGGCACTGCACCAGCTTTTGGACAGACTGCTGCACAGAACCAGAGTTCACCTTTTGGACAGACTGCTGCACAGAACCAGAGTTCACCTTTTGGACAGACTGCTGCACAGAACCAGAGTTCAGCTTTTGGACAGACCGCCACACAGAACCAGAGTTCACCTTTTGGACAGACCGTGACACAAACCCAGAGTTCACCTTTTGGACAGACCGCCACACAGAACCAGAGTTCACCTTTTGGACAGACCGCCACACAGAATCAGAGTTCACCTTTTGGACAGACCGCCGCACAGAACCAGAGTTCACCTTTTGGACAGACTGCCACACAGACCCAGAGTTCAGCATTTGGACAGACTGCCGCACAGAACCCAAATTCAGTCTTCGGACAGACATCTTCTTTTGGACAGGCGTCTGCTTTTGGGCAGGCTCCGGGATTTAGCCAACAGCCCTCTGCGTTTGGAAACTCCCAGATGTCTGGCTCCACCACTACCATAGGACAACCTCAGCCCCCGGGTTTTGGACAGTCTGTGTTTGGACAACCTTCATCCACAAGTGTCACCACCAGTGGATTCGGCACCACTCCGAGTGTGACCCAGAGCCGAGAATTTGGATCATCCAAATCCACGTTCAAGCCAGCCAATGAGGCACTTTTCAAACCCATCTTCAGTGCCAGCCCCGAGCCTGCTAACCCCCAAACTACTGCTATGACCAGCTCACCTTTTGGCAGCACTGTGTCCCAGACAAGCTCCAGCTCCATGGGCAGCAGCACCCCCGCCTCTGTCTTCTCTACGACGACTGGAGCCCAGCCTGGGCCGCCGGGCTTTAGCTTCTCCCAGCCGGCTGCAGCCCCCTCCATCACTACTCAAAACAATCCCCTAACAACTGACACTAGCAACGCTCCTTCCAACCCGCTGAAGTTCACCTTCTCCCAGCCAGCCGCGCCCTCCAGCTCCAGCACTCAGGCGTCTACCACCGAGCCCACCACCCCATCCACTTTCAGCTTTTCAGCCACATCCCTCCTGCCCCAGGCCGCACCACTTTTTGGAGGGACCAATTTTGGTCAGCCCCCCGCTTATAGTGACACCAGAGCTGAGGCAGAGGAAAAGGGGAGCAATTTAGGAGAAACAAATGTGTTTGCACGACTTGGCAAAGGCACCAAACGAAAGGAAGATCTAACGGCCCCCAGCACCGGTCCCGAGAAGCCTGCAACAGGAGAGGAGGGGGAGGAGGAAGAGGATGTCCATGGAAGAGATTCACCGAGGCAGCCTTCAAAGAGGCCCCTCATGAGGTCCCGCGGCCCACCAGTTGGCTTATTTGGTAGGGCACTAAACTGTCTTCGTAAAGATACTACCCACCCTGTGATGCGAGAGGCCACAAAGGAGACGGAGAGCGTCCAAGCTCAGGCTGACGAACGTGCTGCTACACCCCCCGCAGTGCAAGCACCAGTCAGAGATGAGCTGGAAACAGCTGAGGAGTCAGGTAAGAGGGACAAATCATAACTACTGCAGTACCTGCATTCTGATCTGAAAACAATTACTGATTACAATTATTTTTGACAGAGTTTTGCAGTTGCGATATGATTCTATGAATTCTAAGAATGCTAATTATTGAAACATTATTCACATTATTGTTGGAAAATATATTAAAAACTATGTTACACTCGCATCTCTGTTGGCTAGTGCTCTAAAGCTGGCTACACACCAACCCGATTTTGGGAGTCAGAGGCAGTCGGGCATTCGCGGCGCCCTACTCAGGTTGATGTGTCCCGCACAGTCGTCTCTTTACGGCACCTTTTCACACCTCCCGCGGCCGATTCAACATGTTGAATCGGCCGCAGGAGGTCAGAGAAAGTCGGCCCAAGCAATCACTCTGATTGGCTGTTCACAATACCGCTGCCTGCTGGTAAGGACGGTTATTGCCACTCGTCGACTGAAGTATTTGCGGTGTGTTCGTAGGCGGGCGACGCAGGCGACGTAGCTGACGTAAAAGTCGGTACGCGTTCTTTGGTCTCAGGTGGGTGTGGGTGTGTAGCGGCCTTAACACATTAAGTGCTAAGGGGCAGGACATCTCTAAGCGGTTGACCAATCACAACAGAGCTGGCCAGCTAACCAATCAGTGCAGACCGGTCTCTGGTTTCAGACAGAGGGTGAAAAGAGGTGCTGCAGCACAGGCAGTATGAGAAAAATAAAGAGCTTGTTGAACATTAAAGCATGGAGACATGTCACAGTAGAGACAAAACACAAACATGAACCGGAAAATGAACATAATAGGGTCCTTTAATTTTTTTTTACATTTTTGATGAGGAGTTTTGAGGGGTACCAATATTATATTTGCATAGATCCAATTTGTTTCCTTCTACCGATGTTATGACCGTCACAATATTGTTTGGTTTTCATGAAGCACAGGGACACAGATAGACATCCTGCAGATTAACTAAATATCCTAAATTAATTTGAGTGATTTCCTCTTCACAATATACTCATCTTGTCGTCTGCCTTTTACCCATCAACCCTCTCTAGACTTACCCAAAGCCCCAGACTCGGCCCCCGGCGGCGTCACCACCCCTGTGAGACGCGGCTCCCGCAGGGATAGCACGGAGAGCCTGGGGGGCATGTCCCCCTCCGACTGCACCGTCCTGCAGTGCAGGAACGTTCCTCCAGCCCTCAACAAGAAGGAAGTGATTGAGAAGCATTTTGGTCGTTTCGGGAAAGTCCGAAAGGTTTACTGCCGACCCGGCAAGAATCTGGCCATCGTTCACTTTGATGATCATGTGAGTTGGCTCTATGTTACTACGAAATTTAAGTTATTAAATCAAATTAGCCAAATGCATGAACAAATATGACCTTTTTTACTTTGAACTCAACAGGTCAACAGTTTCGGTTATTTGAAAACCTTCCTTTGGTATTCATCTACAGATTGTAAATTGAGTTTGATCAGCGTGTTGGGATTTGAGACTCCTTTCACAAAAATATATGCTGGTTGGAAACTCTGATATTTGGGTTTTTCTAAATAAATATAATACATTTACCAACTATAGATACTATACAGTAGCCTTCAAATGTGAAAATGTAGTTTAAAAAGGCTACTGTCTGGTAGCGGACTTGTTCTTCTGCTGAAATCATAGATAAAGAAACAATGATACATCATTAGCCTCTACACTTCCTCCTCAATAGAGCATTCAAGATCTGCTTGTAAACAAATGCAGAGTTTCAGAACAGTATATCTGAACCCATTTTTATGACGTTTGTGTCAAATAAACGTGAGTAATTGTCTAGGTGAGTAAGTGTCTATTTTTCAGTGTCTAATCTGCTCTTTTTTTGTAAACATTGACCTTCTGACCAACCTCCACTTCCTGGGTGACTGCAGTCTCCAATTCATGCCTCCGATCTTATTTTTCATTACTAGATCATGTTAAACACATTTATTTATTATTATTTGAAATATTTGTCATTCAAATCACAAAAATGTTTGGCTTACCGTCACTGTTCACTATCTTTCAGGCATCAGCAGCAAAGGCAAAGAAGAAAGGCAAACTCCTGCACAGACATGAACTCCTCCTCTTGTGGCAGAGAAAGAAGCAGAGTACGTTCACTATTCTACAGTTGGCATATCATTCATATGGATATAATTGCTAGCACCTAGCATGCCCAGTTCCGCTGTATAGATATGACAGTCTATCAGTACGGACCTACAAGCAAAAGTGAATTTAACAACTTATGTAAAGACTTTTGAGCAGGTATCTTCTTCTTTTCTTTTACACGTGTCCTGCATATCCTTAAAAGGCATTGAATTAATTTGTCTTAAAATAAGACCTTTAATTGTTTTTAAAATGTCTGTTTCAAAGCTCTTTATAAAATGTATTTGAGGCAGGATTTCTCATGTTGTTTTCTGTGCCTCAGGTCAAGGGGACAAAGGGAGCAGAGCTACAGCAGAGAGAGGGGAGGCAGAGGGGGGGAGTCAGGAGGACATGGAGTCCAAAGATGTTTCCTCCCCCCTCAGGAAGGCTGCTCACAGAGGTCCTACAATCAGCAGCCTCATGTCCTTCAGCCGCAGGTACACTGATACACTCACACCGGCTTCACAGTGTTAGTCTTACCAGGACTGTTCAGAACAAACTGAAGCTCCATTCATAATGTTGGCATTTACATTCTATACCAACATTTGAGTATTTTCAATGCATTTGTATTCATTGGGCTAGCGCAAAAATACTTTTAAGATAAAGTTAACACTAAACTAATATTGTTAGTGTCATGATATCTTAGAGTTTTTAAGTCCAAACATCAAAACTTATTGAAAAAAGGCAGATGGAATCATTTCCAAAGTTCACAATGTGTTTTTATCTGATAACATATTTTGTTTCTAATTTATATTTGTTGGCCCTTACTTTTTCACAAACAACATATTCACTATGTGCTACAAACTGATGGCTCACACACTCATTTCATTAATTAAATCAGTTTTGTTTTTAGGATTTATTTTATTTGAAAACCTCGATAAAAGCTACAATTTAAAACAACATCCAGTAGAGCCCTAGTCATCATTGTACTGTTTAGTTTTAACTTGAGTTAATGCTAACAAGTGTGGACCAATGGACACAAGCGAGTATAGTTAGAAAGAATGTTTCTGTGATGCTGTGACTGACTGCCCTGTGTCTCTTCCTCTGTCAGTTCTCCTGTGAAGAAGTCGTCATTAGCCAAAGCTCTGCAGTTTGACACAGAGCCGCAGAAAGAGAGCAGCTCAGAGGCCCCGGGGTCTGAGCGCCCCGTCCCCTCCTCCCTCCTCCACCTCATGGGACAGCTGGCTCCCACCGCTGAGGACAAGTTCCGCCTGCTGGAGCAGCGAGACAAGATCCTGCGCCAAGGTGAAGCCGCCACTCGGCCATCTATCGCAGTCTTTAACGTGACTTAAAAAAACGAAAAGGCATTCTAACTGTGTGCTCAATGTGTCCTCACAGGTCGGCCCCGGAGGACGGACCTGGTCCTCTCCAAGGTGTTTGTGGGGACGTGTCCCGACATGTGTCCGGAGAAGGAGAGGTACATGAGGGAAACACGGAAACAGCTGAGCGTCTTCGAGGTCTTCCCAGAAACTGAGATGGTAAAGCTCCGTTACTACATATATCAGTTATTCTAGACTATTTCAAAATGAATCTGTAGGTTTGCAACACATGCTACAGTATACCCCGTACATGAAGAGAGAAACCAATCATTAATAAAAAGAAAAAAAGTCTTATTGTGCACAAATAAATGTATGGAACAAGATCAAAGGGATGTTACATTAGTAATGTATATCAAATAGTGTTTCTACAAGTGGGATCACTTTAGAGAAATAATGAATCTGCCACCAGGTGGATCACTCGGCAGCCATCAAGGAGTACAGCCGGTCGTCAGCGGACCAGGAGGAGCCCCTCCCCCACGAGCTGCGGCCCCTGCCTGTGCTCAGTATGACCATGGACTACCTGGTGTCTCTGATCATGGACCAGGGCCACGACAACTACCGGGACTGGTACGACTTCCTCTGGAACAGGACGCGCGGCATCAGGAAGGTAAGAGGGTTCCGTCTCACAAACATGACTGTTGTCTTCAAGTAATTCAATTTCATGCGTTTGTATTGTATAGCAGATATGGGCTTTCGAAAAAAGCCCCGAGGGACTAAACACGAGAGAGACACTGTGACGCAGGAGAATAATTGCGTTGCATTGTGTGTGAACATTTATTATTGTATGTTTACGGAATGAAGAAGCAAAACAAAAGACTAAATAAGGGCTGCATTTTAACAACAGGAACATGTCCAAACACCTGTTCACAAACGTGTGCAATACTCCTGCAGTATAATCTTAAATTCTACGTTTGAATAGCTCAAGATGCATTTCTGAATATCTGATTGGTGCACACACGTTACAGATATTGAGTTGTCATAGCAGCAAACACATTGTTAAACACACTTTCTGGGTCCAGTTGTATCTTTGCAGAGAGTAGAACATGTTTTGGAGCCTGATGTGATTCCTCTCCCCCCCCCACAGGACATCATCCAGCAGCACCTGTGCTGCCCTCACACGGTGTCTCTGATTGAGAAGTGCACACGCTTCCACGTGCACTGTGCCCACCACCTCTGTGAGGAGCACATGTCTACTTTTGATGCCAAAATCAACAACGAGAACATGACAAAGTGCCTGCAGAGTCTCAAAGAGATGTACCAGGACCTGAACACACGTAACATCTACTGCCCCCTGGAGGCCGAGTTCCGTCTGTACAGCGTGTTGGTGAAGCTCAACGACGGGGACATCCTACGGTCAGTCCAGCAAAACACTGATACACAAACTGTTACTGATGGTGGTGAAATGTCACTTGATTTCTTTGCAAAGCCCCTGTTTGTGTTCCTGCCTTTTTCCAGAAATCAGTACATTGAAATGACATCTTTAGAGGTTGCTTCCAATCTTCCAAGAAGTGAGCTGGGAATAGAAGCACACTTTTCGTAGTGGCCAAACAGTTGTACTTCAACTTCCGTGTCAGTCCGTGATAAGGAAATACTCATGATTTTGGATTAGAATGATCACAAGTGGGAATGGGAATCAATTAGTCAATTAATAGAAAGTATTGTCAAATACTTTGGTAATCAATGAATCATTTGAGTCGGGTCTTCTTTAAAGGAAATGCAAAACCTTTCCTAGTTTGAGCTTCTCAAATGAGAAGCTGCTCTTCTTTGTTTCATATGATTGTAGAATGAAAGGAACGGGGCCCCGCCTCAATGCTGTATCCAGTCCTCTTAATATATCCATGGTTACTTGACTTTGTTTATATCTGATGCTTTTTCTCTAACCCTTCCTCACACTTCCTGTCCACACAGTGAAGTCCAGCAGTTCCGTGACGAGGTGCGTAACTCCCCCGAGGTGAAGTTTGCCGTGCAGGTTTTCACTGCAGTCAACAGCAACAACTTTGTGCGCTTCTTCAAGCTGGTGAAGGGAGCCTCGTACCTGGCCAGCTGCCTCCTGCACAGATACTTCAATCAGGTCAGGAACTCCTCCTGCTGTAATGACTTCAACTGAGAGAACATTGAAATAAATGCAGAAAATCCAGGGAATAGTCATTGTCCTGTTTTCACGAATGAAACAATAACAAGGGATACACAAATATATAGGAATGAATGGAGTTAGAGAAAGTACCTCGAACAGTCCTGTAGGCAGCACAATCAAGGCTTGACCCCCAAATCAAAACTTTTATCATCCGGCACTAAATGTACTTTCACCATAATGTACCTCATTTGGACTTGACCTACCTAATTAACATGCCTATCATTTTAACATATTCATTATTATCCAAGTCTTTATATATACAAACACCTTTCATTTGACAGGACATCCTTAAGTAACATTTTGTTATTCTTAATATCCTTGTGTGAACTCTTACCTTTCCTATTCTGTGCTTCACCCTTACTACTGTTGCCGATATGACACCTGATTTTCATTCGGGTATAAATAAAAATGTATCTTATTACAGAAAGGTTAAATAGGGGTTTGTTAAACATAGGACTGCAATAATATACATGATATGTTATGCTTGTTCTTACCACACACAGCCTTTGTAATGGTAAAGTAGTAGATGCTAATAATATCTGTCCAGATAGAAGTGGGAGTTGTTCATTAGTAATATTTGTACAAATGTGTGTGTGTGGTTGTGTGCGTACAGGTCCGAGCTATGGCCTTGAAGATCATGAACACGGCTCACACTGTGGGTCCACGAGCCACCGCGTTTCCAGTGGAGGATTTAGTTCGGATGTTGATGTTCCGCACCACTGAAGAGGGAACGGACTTCATCCAGCAGTACGGCCTCAACGTCAACGAGGGGTGAGTTTCTACTGAGGCTCTGAGTTTGAGTTACTTCATGTTATTTCAAGTCTTTGACTGGACAACACCTGATATTCAAGACAACATTCTTCATATATTCATTGGATGTCGTTGACAGTATGGTAGAGCTGAGTCGGATAGCCTTTCAGGAGCCAGAGCTGCCTCTGTCCCAGAAGAAGTCGCCGGTCATCCTCGCAAAGAGAAGTGTGCTGATCGGAGAGGTGGTGAACGGAGGCCCCCTCCCTAACCCCCCCCAGCACACCCCCGCCTGCAGCTTCGACCCCCAGAACAAGTACAGAGGAGAGGGCCCTCTGGCTGAGCCCACACAGAGCCAGTTCAAAGGTATGCCCTCCTTTTTACTGATCTAAACACTCACAAATAGTTTTTATTTCTTCATTTGCAGGACTTGCTTTTGCTTAGGACAACAGTATTTATATTTATATGCAATGTTATAGTAGATCCCATATAACAGTCTGTATTGGTGATGATTGTAAAGTCTGACTGCTTCATTACACCTCCAACAACGCAGACAGTCAGTGTGTTTAAGATCAGCTGATATGTTTCTGTATTGTCTCAGCTATTGCAGCCAAGGTGGAGGTGAAGGCCCCCCCCAGCGTAGAGTTTGTAGCGCAGGTGGTTCCGGATGTGGCCGCCATGTTTGGGTTCCCTCCAGCTGGTCCTCCTGAGGTGGTGCCACAGTATCACAGCCCGGCCCCCCCTGCAGACGCCCAGATGTTCCAGCCCATAGCCCAGCCCCAGCCTGTCAAACCCCCGTCACCTCCACCCAAACCTCAGCCCGTCTACAGCAACGAGGTGAGCAAGATCTCTACGCTCTTCATCTCAGAACACATCAGAGGTCCCTCTAGAGGACGGATTCATTCCTTAGTGGGTTGCCTGCAATGTATTTGGAATTCACTTCTCCAGCCCATGAGCAATACACAGCAATACAGTTACAGTATGACACCATATAAGGTCTATTAAAGCTTTAAAAATGGATTAAAAAAAAATCACAGAGCTGCGGTAGGGGTAATATTAAAGCTTTACATTTAGGAGAGAAAAAAAATGAATATTTTCAGATATTTAAGAGGAAAGAAAACGAAAATTGTGGGTTTCCTTTAATCAAGAATGGTTCCTTGATTTATTCTTTGGATTTGGCAATAAGGAAATACTCCTGATTTTGGATTAGAATGATCACAAGTGGGAATGGGAATCAATTAGTCAATTAATAGAAAGTGTATTGTCAAATACTTTGGTAATCAATGAATCATTTGAGTCAGGTCTTCTTTAAAGGAAATGCAAAACCTTTCCTAGTTTGAGCTTCTCAAATGGGAAGCTGCTCTTCTTTGTTTCATATGATTGTAGAATGAATATTTTAGTGTGTTGATCCGTTAAGGCACCAATAAACAAAAAATAACCAACTAAAAAAAAAACCTAGTCTCAATATTGCAGTCTTTTGCAATAAAAGAGACGATATATTGTGCAGCCGTAATCTGATTTTAGAAAATGAATATTTGATAAAAGTACTTGTTGGAGGATTGAAGTGAAATGCAGGCTGAGCTAAAAGGCCAGCGGGAATTAAAGAGTTATAATTGGGAAAACAAAGAATCTGAAGATGGCATCCTGGAAGAAGATAAAGATGAATTGAGAAAATCCTCAGATTGATCAATAGTGACAAAAACATGACTAAAATATAGACCAACAATAAACCAAAATATCAAAGGCCTCAGCCTCTATTCATTGCAAGTCCTTACAGCAACAGTGACCTGGCTGCCCTAGTGTTAGTGTGTTCCTGACAGTAACCCCTGCTGTGTCCCGCCCTGCAGGAGATCGTGGCTGAACTGGACAGCGTGGTGGAGGAGGTGGTTGGAGCAGCAGTGATGGAGGTGGCAGAGGCCGGAGCCAGCTACGCCACTACAGCTCTAATGTAAGTGATTTTATACATCCAGCTTTTCTTTACCAGCTTATCTTGTGCTACATTTAAATATACTGCTGATTTATTTGAGTGTTTAAAGGCAGTGTAGGTCTGAAGAATGTTCTAAGTTGTTTAACTGTCCTTTTGACCTCGGCCCTGCAGGGAGAGCGGTGTGCAGGTGGAGTCTCTGCTGGGCGAGGTGTTGGGACAGATGCTGCAGGACGTCTCCTCCACAGAGATCAGGCTGGAGCAGCAGCGTGTCACCGAGGAGAAACGGAAGCTGGACGAAGCCAGGTATGTCTGCTGAGGCTTCACTGCAGCCTGATAAAGACCTGCTGCTTATATAATATTTAATCAAATGTATTTTCTTATCAAAGGCGCAACAAAAATGCAGATTTCATAATCACTGTATCCTGCCAAATGCACACCTTTATCATACACACAATCAAAGTTCATTTGAAAAGCTGGTAAAACACGGTGACAGTATTTATCAATTGCGATGACTATAAAGTCAATCTGTAAATGTCATTTTATATTCAGTTACAATGTAGGTGTGAAGATAAAGCTGTGAGAGTCTGGAATTGTTTAGTTTGTTTTGAATGTTACTCTTCTGAAGCTGTATAAACTCTGTTAACAAAGCAGCTGTATTTGCAACACCCCATTTCCTTTGTGTGTGTGTCAGGAGGAAGCAGGAGCACGAGGCCTTCCTGGTCGACTTCAGCTTCTCTCTCTGCTCAGAGCTCATCTATGAAGTTCTAGATGAGACCATCAAGGAGACGGCCACCTCTGAGATCAAGTAAGCTTTCAAACTCGTATCCTTTTTTTTGTGATAACATTTATATTTATTTAGGCAGAAACACAGAACAACATATTACTAAACGCATACATACCACGTGAAGAACATACAAACGGCTCCCTTACAAAACTTTTTTTTTTTTTTAAAACCCTCCCCAGGACCCCCGTGTCAAACACATATCCTAATGGGGTCCGATGCAAAGTGACGTGCCTTACAGGATTACTTCAAACCATTATAAGATGCTACAGTTAAAGAGTATTGTCATGAAGTTTAATGTCTTCCAGTGGGGCACTCTATTTTAAACTCTGCTATACTGCACATATGTTATTTGCCATTCTCATATTGGACTTACTTTTTTATATATTTATATTTCATGTAAACATTTATTTCTATCTTTTAAATTCGTTTTAAAAATAATTTTCACTATAGTTTTATTTGTTATCCTTTTAAAAAAAAACACATTTCTCTTCCTGTGCTTATGACCAATGCAAATTCCTTGTATGTGTAAACCTACTTGACAATAATGCCGATTTTTATTTTAGATGGGTTTTCCTTATTTAAGACTCTTTTTGTTTTGTTCTCAGAGAGGCGGTGAATGAAAAGGCTGACCGTGTGGCTAAATGCACGGAGCAGGTGTGCACCTCTCTGGTTGAGGACACTCTGGATGCAGACATTGCTCGGTTGGTTGAAGCCATCCTTGAAGATGAGCTGCAATGCATCCACAAGTACATCAAGAGGTAAGAACCAGAAATATCATGTGATCAATAATCTGATAACAGGCCAGTATTCCATTCTAACTGGCGCTGATGTAGCTTAAATACCATATATATGTTTATTTATGTATGATTGAAAATCAATTGTTCCTTTACTCATTATTCCCCTTCTCCCAGGTGGCGTGATGTGGTGGCGGTGCGTCGGCAGCTGAAGAGACAGATGAGAGGTTTCCCTGCGGCCCCGTGCTGTGTGGACCCTCGGTTCAAACTGAAGGCTCTGGCCCCCAGCGCCCCCGCCCAGCCCTCCATGGCTGACCTGGCCCGAGGTGTGGTCGACCTGGGAAACTCCGGCACGCTGGCCCTCTCCAGCACCAGGTACGTTGGCCACAAGGGTGATTTCAAAGCACGGCCTAACCCTTCTGCATCAATATGATTGACTTTTGAAATTAAATTGGGCTTTTTTTCAATAATTTAAGCATTTTTGGCAAGGGTGTAAATCCAATTTTGGCTCCTATAATAAGTTTAAGATTATACAGAGTCAGACCTGTAAGGACATACATTGTTACCATTTAAACCGTATGAAATCAATACAGCCATAACAGCATAAAATCATATATTCTGTTATTTATTTTTACTTTTATTCTAAAGCCCTGGCCTCAAAATTGTATATTTTACTATTTTCAAACCTGATTGAGCCATTTTCTTATGCTATCTTCCTCGTTACGACTGTCCTCTGTAGTTGTGCATCAAAATCAATATTGATTTCGTATACAGAAAAAACTATCAGAGGAATTATGTAAACATATGTGACCCGCTCTATCGAAATCAGTCGGAAGTCGCAACGGCTCATTTCAAAATAAACGTGGATTTGCACGGGTGTTTTGTTCGATTTTAAATAAACAAAGTCTTGGCTTTCAGAATATGAAAGTTTTATTTCCAAAATCACACGATAAATAAATGTTTGAAGCTTGTAAAGGGAAGATGACAGGCACCTCTCACTCGCACCCGGCTCTTCCTCAGCGCCGCCCCCCCCTCCCTCCGGCTGACATTATGAATGTAAGGCGTATAGTAATCATAGATAACACGGCAGGGTCCGTTACAGTTTGTTTTCATCTGATTTCAATTAAACAAAGTCTTAACCCTTTCAGAATATTAAACTTGTTTCGGCAAATTCAGATGATAAATACAACTATGAAGCTTGTGACGGCATAATTACAAGCGGAGAACGGAGTAACTTGACGTCACAGCAGGCATAACAACAGCCGGTGTTTCTCGTGAGTGTTTTCCCCGGGAAACAAACACAATACACACAAACGCAAAAATACACAAATACACAAACACACACACACACTTGCGAGCTTCCCCCAGACCAGTAATCCAAACCAAAATATGTTCCCTCGGTTACTACTTTGATCATGTGACCCGCTAATAATCAATCAGATCGATGGATTCCAGAGAAGATGAAACTTTGAAGGCCTTTTTCTCAAAATGATGACTCGGTGACAGTCATTATATAATGTGACATATTTAGTTTAATATTTGGAGTACAAAAACAATCTTGATATCATTAGAAAGCTAGGAATCTCCTCTTTCCAAGAGTGTATACAACTGAACATGTGTCTTCGGGTCAATGCGACTGATTTCGATAGAGCAGGTCACAAATGGGCAATGTATGGATTACCATTTTTCTTTTTCTTTTAAAAACACAAATAAAGAAAGAACATTTATGAATATTGGTATTTTATGATCACAACAAGATGTTGTTTTAAACATTGAACTCAATGAAAGTGGAAATATTAATTTAGAATTGTATCGTAGTATTTTGACGGAAATATTTGTCTCTTTTAAGGACAGCAGAGCAACTGTTTTGTAGATTAATAACAAGGATTGATTTAATGAAAATCTGGTGAATATGCTACTCTAGTATATCTGTTAAGGTATTTTGTTTTATATTCTGTCAAGGTTGCTGAAAATGAGAGAAGAAGCGATCCACCAGATGAGAGTCCACTTCTACTACCAGCAGCTGCTTGAGTAAGTCATGAGAGTGTTTATTCAGTCAGTAATCTGTATCACACAGCAGCATTCTGACCTCTCTGCCTTTTCTCTCAGTCAGTCAGTGTGGGCTCCACTCGACCTGCCGGCACTGGTGACAGAGAATATCCCCAACCCACCGGAGAGAATCTTCTGGAAGGCTGTGCTCCTCCTACCCAGCGACCATGACAATGAAACCAGCCTGGCAGACCGGTGAGCAGCTGCACAGAAAGATGATGAAAGGCGAATGTTTGAATACCTTTTTTAGATTTTAATAAAAACAATTCCGCGTGTGTTCTCTCCGGTGTGTGGCCTTCAGGATCCTGTCAGATTGGCTGGAGGTGAAGCTTGGTGGGGGTAAAGACTCAGAGGGGAGGGATGAGCAGCTGGACGGCGCACTACAGACCCTCTGTGTCACCAACACACTCCAGGATAGAGGAGAACACACCCACAAAGTTCACATCAGCATCAAGGTGAGATCCTGCTGACACAGACGGCTGCTCTCAAGAAAACAAAAGCGATAACTGTTACTTAAGCCAACAAATATTATAAATAAATGAAGTGTACTGACAAAGTACATTCTAAAGTCAAGTTATTTTTCTTTAATGGATTTTAACGAGGCCCTAGGCTTTTAGGGTTTTATCATTCTTGTAGTGTATTAATATAGGTTTTAGTGCATGTAAATGGTCTGCAAGGTTAAAATCCTAAATGACATCACTACATAACACTCGCGCTTCTTTTGGCTAGTGCTCCAACACATTTTACGTGAAAGGCTAAGAGGCGGGACATCTCTAAGCTGTTGACCAACCAGAACAGAGCCGGTCAGCTATCCAATCAGAGCAGACTGGGCTCTGGTTTCAGACAGAGGGTGAAAAGAGGTGCTGCAGCACAGGCAGTATGAGAAAAATAAAGAGCTTTTTGAACATTAAAGCATGGAGACATGTCCCAGTAGAGACATTACATACTAATATGAACCTGAAACTGAATAAATAGGGCCCCTTTTATAGGTTGGTTTAAAAAAAGATAAGCTTACAGATATATTTCACTATATATTGAGACTCTGTAAACACTCACGATGGTATTGAGAAATGTGTTTGTGCTTTACCTATATGAAATTGCATGTGCGACAGCAAAATGGTATCTATTTTGGGATATTTGGAGAAAATAGGGGTTAAGTATCTGGTCCAAGGACACTTTGACATGTTCACTACAGGGGATAGGGAACAAACCACTGCCTCTCTGATTGGTAGAGGCTCATTCAACACTTGAGCTACAGCCGGCCATATTTCTGTACATATATCTCTTGTTTAGATAGATAATAACATGAAGTACCTTGCGTAGTCGCTCAAGTTTTCTGACCCGTCTTCTTGGTGTGTCTTCCAGGCATCCCGGGGCCCTCTGTCTGAGGATGGCCTGTCCAAAGCAGAGGGGCTCAGTGAGCTTCAGGGGACAGCCGCTCTGATGGTGCTGCTCCCCGCCATGCCCCTCACGGAGCAGGAGGAGCAGGACATCCCCCTGCTCTCCGCCCTGCTGCAGCTCAAACAGCTCCAGCAGGCCAAAGGGAGCTGGCACTGCCCGCTGCCTCTGGCCGTCCTGGTGCCAGGGCCGGCCGGGGGCCCCGGGGACACACAGGAAATCGAAGAAGGTAATTAGTAATGATCACAATTTCATAAACAGATGTTCATGGTTTTAAGTTAATCCTTAAAACTCATTATGTAGTGTTATACTAATCTCAAACTCTTACCGTGAGACTTGAATTCATTATTTATTTTTATTTTAAACTTATTTTTCATAAAGTTGTAATTATTTTGCCAAAATATTCCAGATAAACTAAAATTGTACCTATTCATATCTTATACATATCTATACATTATTCAATTTAATGCCAGTTATTTACATCATGTCACTTTTTGTAGAAACATTTAAAAGCCACAAATGTCCCTAGAGATGTGATAGGGACACAGTTATGGTCACTAGTACAAACACAACCTGGGATATTCAATAAGCCATTCATGAAATGCAGGTGATTGCATTTGTTTGTGATCATTTAAGTTACATTTTCTATCAGCTAGTAGTTATGTAACAGCAGCTGAAATTTGTTTTAAAGGGGACCTATCATGCAAAATGCACTTTTTGATGTCTTGTATACATAAACATGTGTCCCCGGTGTGTCAGGGAACTCACGCAGCGTCAGAAAATAAAACCCTCTCTCAATTCCTCCGTACCCAAATCTCTAAAAACGGGGGTACAACGGAGCTGATCCAGATTTGCGTCCGATTTGACGTAATATCGGAAATGTGGACCCACGGCACTATCAGAAAGTTGCTATCAGAAACAATGCCCGACTATTTTGGACATAATATGGTCTGTGTTTACATTAGCATCGCTAACACTCAGAGCTAACCTGTACTGGAGAGCATGTGTGTGAAGAAGCAGGAAATAAAAAGGAACTCGCCTTGTGAGAGAAAGAGAGAAAGTCTTTGAGCTCCATACTGTTTCAGAAATAATCCTTGATAATCCATGATATGGCGTTTCATCACGGCAGTATTTAGTTTAGACGGTAGCTGCCGGGTCCCGCATGAGCTCAGCCCCCTCCTTTATTTTTTAAAAGCTTTATACCCCAAATCAGCACTTTTGAAACAGGAAGTGAAATAGAGGGATATGAGGCATGGCTAGAATGGGTGATCTGTTTGGTATTTTGAGCAAAACACTTCATAGACATGTTTTTATATATTTGTATATATCTGAGACCTATGCTATTGCCTAAAAATAGCATGATAGGTGACCTTTAAGCAAATGTGTGAACCCTGATTTTTCCCTGTCCCTCAGCCCTGATGCTGCACACACTGGTCCAGGAAGGCCTGATCTCAGAGTTCACCTTCTTCTTCATACTAGAGACCACCAGTGAGCTGCAGGGAACCAAACAGGTATCACACATTCATAAAAAACTGAAGACACCTGAATCTGCAGCTGCCTTTGGCTTTATAGTGAAAAACAAGATAGCTGTTAAACATTGTGGAACCTTTAGCCACTGAAGAGCCAGATATCTTCCTAGGTGGAGACCAAAACGGAATTAAATACACTAAAGCGAGAGAGGGGGATGTGCACGGATGTGCTACTCTTGATTTCTCTTTTTGTCTTTTTAATGTGACTTTTCTATGTACAGTATGTTTTTTTTAAATATTGTACAGTTTTGCACCGTCTGGTCTCTAAGAATTTGTCAAATAAAACAATTTAAGAAATGTTAGGGAAATATGACTTTTTGGTGCTCATTGTTCACATTATAGGATGCAATCTGTGATAAAGTAGACCCTCCTTCATTGTGAGCCAGGTTTGGAATCACTGATGTAGATGTTTTATAGTTTGAAACAGATCTTCTCTATCTTCTGTGTCCTGTGTGTTTCCAGCTGAGCCAGGCTACACGCTGGCTGCTGGCCCGTGCCCCCCCGCTGCTCCCTCTCTCCTGTCAGACCCTGGTGCAGCTGGTGGAGGACACGCTGAGTCGTGAGTTCAGCCCCAGAGTCTACGCCCACCACCAGGATCGCGCCGCTGCCCTTCTCCCCTCCCAGGAGCCAGCGCCTGTCATCCAGCTGTACAACGCTGTCCTGGCTCACCTTGCTGACAAAGTGTCGTCTCCGGACCTCAGCAGACTCTCCTGGCCCCCGGGCGAGTTCTGCCTGCAGGAATCCCAAGACTTTGTCCCTCATCTGGGCTGGAACTCTCCCAAGCACCTGGCCTGGCTCCGAGAAGCCATCCTCAGCCTGCAGCTGCCCAAGTGGGAGCAGATCTCTGCCACAGGTCAGTGACTGAGATAGAGAATTGTCAAAAGAAATCTGTTCAGATGTCTTTTCCACTGGCAACGTATTTATGTCATTAGTACGTAGTAATTAGTTATCGATATGCGTCGGCCGTAGAAAAACTACAATGTTCTGTATAAAGACTACTAAAAGTGCATCTTGATACATCTCTGTGCGTTCTTATAGTTTAATGTTGGCTGTATAAACTTGGACAACAGTGAAAAATATATGAATTCCTTTCTACGACTGGAATTCAAATGTAAAAAGGAAAGTGAAACTAAAGGGTTGCTCGCACTCACCCTGCTGTCCACTCTTGATTTCCAAGTAGTATGATTGTATGAAACTATTGCAATAAATAATACTTTATGCAAAATATACAAAACTTGTAAGGCCTATACATCAACTACTGTGCATATCACCGATCAAAAATGATGTGAAATAAGTATAACTAAGAAACAGCATCCAAATCTGTAAACACTGTGAAATGTTTACTTTATTTGATCATTTGACAGTAATTAGCATTATGTTCATAGTGCGCCTCTTTGTTTAACATATTGTTGAAAGTTCAAAACATATAAGCACTTTGTCAATCCATGCTTAATAACTCATAACTCATAACTAACATGATCTGACTTTTTCTATCACAATGGGTAGTTTCTGTCAACAGCTGAATAATGCATAATTTTAAATGTTGCGACCGCAAGGAATTGTGGGACAGCTTAATCTTCTTTCCTTCTGTGAAGGATGGTCCAGTGTATCCTATGGTAAAGGAAATAATGAAGGAAGCATTGTAGCTCATTTCCTTATCAACCAGAATTCCAACAGCTCTTATTGTGGCTACCACTTAAATTAAAACCTTTATTGATCCCTGTTAGGAAAGCAGCAACAGGAATACAATTACACAACACAGTCTCACGGCATTTCATGTTATAGTCACGAAATTAATCTATTGATTCGTGTTCACCAACACGATTTTCCCATTTTTTTCGTGTCACACAGAACGATTTTAAAAGCAATGTAAATAATAACAAATTAGAAGGAAAAAGAGATTTAAAAAAAATACAGATTTCAGTATTCTGACACAGAACGATTTTTAGAAGCAATGTATTTATATTGGTAGTATGTTTCGTGCCTGCACCAAATAATAACAAATTAGAAGGAAAAAAAGATTTAAAAAATACAGATGTCAGTATTCTGAGGCTCTGAGCCATTTCTTTTCCTCGCGGACGGCAAAAAAACTCCGACATTATACAATTTAAAATAAAAGGGTTAGGGTTAGGCTTAGGGTTAGGCTTAGGGTAAGATATTGAGTAAGAAAATGTTTTTATGAACCACACAGCTTCTGGTCTTCCAAGACCCGACCGGACAAAAAGACGTGGTGCAGGCACGAAACATACTACCAATAGAAATACATTCTTTTTAAAATCGTTCTGTTTGACACGGAAAAAATGCTAAAATCGTGTTGGTGAACAGGAATCAATAGATTCAATTAATTTCGTGACCATAACATGAAATGCCGTGAGACTGGGTTGAATTACAACACAGGACACATGGGACAATTAGGTACTTTCCCTCATTTAAGAACCCTTCTCGACAAAAAGGCCTATTTGACTGCAACCTAATAATCATTGTATTATTCTCCCTCCCCACTGCTGTATTATCCCTCTCTCTCTCTCTCTCTCTCTCTCTCTCTCTCTCTAGACTCGTGGCCTGAGCTCTGCGCCTCCATCTTCCACTTCTCCGCTCAGATCCCAGTCTCCCGCCGCAGCCAGCCCCTCCTGATGTCCCGGCTGGAAAACCTCCTGGAAAGGGTCAGGGTCAAGGGTCACCGTACCCGAACCTCCAGATCCAACCGTGGCGACGAGGACGTGTGTCCGACCTTCAGTCAGATCCCTTGGGACGACATTCTGGTGATCTGCATCGACCACAAACTGAAAGACTGGCAGATCCCCGAACCCCCGGTCTGTGAAGGTGAGGACATTCTGAAGGGAGGCTATCTGGGAACTTCTCTTGATTTCTGACGTGTATTACAATACTTCATTATTTGTTTTGTTGTTTTAGATGCTGTTACAGACGATGGGGAGATCCTGGTTTACCTCCCCATTGAGACCCTGAAGGGGTTCAGGCCCCCTGGGGAATGGACTGAGGTCATCAGACAAACACACAGAGAGAAGCAGCAAGAGGAGGAAGGGTAAGAACATACTAAAAGAGACCAATACAAATAGTAAAAATCACATGTTTTCCGTTTACCTGTAGTGATTTATATCTATCTAGATTGTTTCAGTGGTAGTTGCCCAGTGTGGGAGAAATCAGCCATGGAGGCGTCTGTCTTCTTTTCAATTTAATAGAAAAAATAATAACTTAAAAATTCAAAAGCAATGTATTTTCCTTTAAATCATGATCCAGTTACTTGGGATAATCCGAAGACCTTAGTGAGCAGTTTCATATAGGAACTATTTTCTTTCTACCACACTACTCCCTCCAACTATATCACTGCACAGAAGCAAGCGTGCATCTGCTCAGCGCGTGTTCACACACTGGCTGATATCTGGGGGTGCTTATAGATTTCTAGATTTCAAAGCACATACCGGTATATCTTACTTTCAACCTCTTATCCTCAACTGCCCGCCCTTTTCTTCCTGTTGGATTAGGATTTCTATTTTTGTTGTTCTTTTCTGATTGCTTGTAAAGCGTTTTTGAGCACTGGGAAAAGCGCTTTATAAATATGATGTATTATTCTTAATATTATATGAACAGGAGTTGTCATATACATTTTGTATATTGTAATACAATGTGCACAATTTTTACTTCAAATGTTTATATGAATATTTTTTTGCATACTTTATTTGAATTTTATTTTTTATTGGACATTTTACTTTAACCTGTTATTTTTGTATACATATCTTTATTTTTATTTAATTTGAATCTTTCCATCTTATATAAATAAGATTAATCATTTATTCATCTTTTAAATATTTCATGCTAAAGCGGAGCACAACATCCAATTTGACCCAAGGATAAATAAAAGACTCTGATTCTGAAGTAGCAAGTCACCACGTCCCAGATTCATAATCACAATCCTCTTTGCCCTCTCCTTTTCCTCCTTCCTCCTTCATCCACAGGGCGGGTGCAGCTGTGAGTGCCCCCCCCAGCAGTCTGTCCATCAGACAGAGGTTGTTCGACAGTCTGGCCCCTGAGACAACAGCAGCCCCTCTGGACATCACCCATACTCCCACAGCAGGAGAGCTGCTGGCCCACAACGTCCTCCAGAGCTTAGAGAGGGAGAAGGCCGCGAGCCAAAGGTAAAGCTACGGCACTGCTGTTAGAGGTTTTCATTGCATCGAGAAGTTGTATATGCAGAATACGCCCATATAATAAAGAAAATGTATTGAGAGGTGTCTGGCTCAATGAGATAGATATACATAGCTCACTGCCCATGATCGTTTATTTAGGGATTTTATCAACCAAACCGAGTTCTTAAAGAATCAGAATCAGAATCGGGTTTATTGCCAGGTAGGTTCACACATACGAGGAATTTGACTTGATGTCGTGGTGCAGACATAAAATATAAAACAAAGAATCTCCATATAAAACAAAAAATCTAATATAAAACAAAAAAATCTTTAAGGACACTGTAATAAAATATAGTTAAATAGCAATAAAATAAAGCAGTAATTTACAGCGAAATAGAATGTAATGAATTATAGAATATGACATAAGAATATGAATATTCTTAAAAGGTCACCTATCATGCTATTTTTAGGCAATAGCATAGGTCTCAGATATATAAAAATATATAAAAACATGTCTATGAAGTGTTTTGCTCAAAATACCAAACAGATCACCCATTCTAGCCATGCCTCATATCCCTCCATTTCACTTCCTGTTTCAAAAGTGCTGATTTTGGGTATAAAGCTTTAAAAAAAAAAAAAAGAAGGGGCTGAGCTCATGCGGGACCCGGCAGCTACTGTCTAAACTAAATGCTGCCGTGATGAAACGCCATATCATGGATTATCAAGGATTATTTCTGAAACAGTATGGAGCTCAAAGGCTTTCTCTCTTGCCGGTTATACCACAAGGTGAGTTCCTTTTTATATCCAGCTTCTTCACACACATGCTCTCCAGTACAGGTTAGCTCTGAGTGTTAGTGATGCTAATGTAAACACCGACCATATTACGTCCAAAACAGTCGGGCATTGTTTCTGATGGCAACGTTCTGATAGGGCCGTGGGTGTAAAGCCAGCCCACATTTCCGATATTACGTCATATCGGACGCAAATCTGGATCAGCTCCGATCAGAGAGAGGGTTTTATTTTGTGACGCTGCGTGAGTTCCCTGACACACCGGGGACACATATTTATGTATAAAAGACATCAAAAAGTGCATTTTGCATGATAGGTCCCCTTTTAAGACTATTGCAATTATTATTTGCCAAAAATAATCTAGAATCTACGTTTTGATGTTTACAGGAGCATGGAGCAGCTTCAGCGCTGGCTGGATGGCGACGACTTGGACCATTTGTCCACACCGCTTTTCATTCCCTCCTCCACCCTGTTGTCCATGCCCCCAACCATAACACGTGGGGACTCAGCCAAGACCCCAGATGACCCTCTCACACAGGTACATTCCCCTTCACCTAACTCAGTGATCCTAGGACAAGTCATGTCCTTTTTCAAACAGTCATTGTGGTGGTCTTATTTTTGGCTGCAGAGATTCATTTACAATATTTTTTAAATGTTCAGTCATGATTTTCAGTAATCATGCATGTTCACTTGTTTTCACTTTCCAGCCTTCAGAGCCTGATGATCTGTCGGACAAAGTGGACTCGCCTAAAACCACGCCTGTGTCTATGTCATGGCGAATTAAGGAACTTGAGCGACAGATTTTGGCGAGTCATGGGGAAGAACTGGCTTGGAAACTTAAGCTGAGTGGTCTGCTGAGCATTGTTGATGACTGATGAACTATTGGAAGGAAAATACTAATAATGACTCTATGGCTTTGCAAACCATTGAAAGCTGAGGACACATTACATTTTTGTCTAGTCTTTGTTTGTAAAAGTGTATAAGTAGATCAACATTTTATTTTTGGTTTTATTATGTACCATAGATGTTGCAATTTTAAATGTCAATGTGTGTTTGTCTGATACATAGAACTAATAGTGTTTATGAGTGTTTCAAATGTGTGGCTTGTTTGAACCAAATGTTGTACTGCTGAGAAAAAAAAATTAGTAAAAGTGTTATTTTCAAATAAATTTCCCATTGTGCCCAGTTTTCATTCAGTAGTTTAAAGGTTCAGCCATTGAATAGTCTCTATCAGTGTGTGAGCACATGTGTAGTGTGTGTTATAGCAGCGCTCTGATTGGAGAACTTCGCGGCACACCCGCCCATTCCCCCGCCCAGCCGTCTTGTGATAGGACAATTGGGTCTCTGCTCATGTCTCTCCATGGTGAGAACTCCTCGGATGGCACCGCAAGGACCTCTGGGAAGTGAAGGGTGAAATTAACCGAACGGTAACCTATAGTTTCTACAAAGCACTACATTTCCCATGAAAGTGCAAAATGGGCAGAGCTTTCCAGAGCACCTGAAAATAAATATATTCATCAAGTTCAGCGGAGGATTCAACTCTACTGTCAAACATGACGGAGGGAACGTAAGTATTTTTGTTTTATTTATTAGATAATGTCGCCGAAACTACTTCCGATGTGACTATTTGAAAGGGATGGAGGGTCAACAGTTTGACAGAACCTGTTAGCTTAGTATGAAAGACTAAATCGTAGATACAACAGTGCTGTCAAATGTTGTATCGCTGTTGTTTTTACACTTTTCTATCACTTTGAGGATCTTTCTCTGGATGAGCGCGTTCTTTAAAGCAAATAATGCAGTTAGTTTTGGCTCGTGTCAAATTGGCCGAACAGACCATTAAGTAATTCTCTCGTAAAAATTCTCTCATGACGTTAGTTGTGCTTTTTCCTCAACTAGTTTGATAATGCACTGCATATTTTCAATGCAGAAGTGGAAAAGAGTACATATAATTGATGCTACTTTTTTACTCTCTTTAAGTGGGAAATTCTGCATATTAAAAAAATCTATGTTATGTAGTTATATGATATAATATAGTATATGATTAATTGTTACCAGCTACAAAAGTATAGCTGCTTACATGGCATGCCAATGTTCCTGTTTAATTGCTTGTTCCCATCTGACAGGATATCATACCTGTATTGTCCAACAGATCACTGACTTAAGTTATGTTTAAAACAGTGTGAAGATTCCCACTTCTAATAATGCAATATAATGCAACATCAAATTATTCAACACTTCAAATACAGCAATACAATAAAGGCCAATTGTAAGCTTGTAGAGAGGTTCAAACACGCTTTTTGATATTGTATCAGACATGATGTGTACAAAGTTATGAACAAATCTATATTTACTCGTACTGATGACTAGCTGAGTGCAGTAGGTAAGTATCATGATGTGTCTGACCAAATGTCTCAGTGTATTGTGAGTGACTAAATGTTAGGGGTTGACCTTTGATACTTGCACTAAATATTTTCACAAAAAAGGTTTTGATAAATAATAATTAGTAATTTGGATGAAATGTTTAAGTAGGTCAAAGTAAATAATAAAACGGGTTACCAAACTGTAATTTCAGAAAAGGTTAATGCAGCTTTTAAAACCAGGAAAATACATCATATATCACAGCCTTAGAGTAAACATTTGTATTTAGTGAGACGTTAAACTAATAAATATAGTAGACGAATCCAGTAGCATACTAAATATACAAATCCCCCTTCCTTGTGAACCCTGTTGGGGTTCCACAAGTTTCCATTATTGGACCATTACTGTTTTCTCTGTACGTTAATGACTTGCCTAATGTGTGTCCTGAGTTGAATGTGCAAATGTATGCCGATGATGCGGTCATCTTTGTACAGGGGAAAAAGACTGAAATAATCACATCCTTTTTCTCAAATAATTTGGACAAGGTTCAACACTGGCTGAACAACATTTGCTTACAGTTAAATGCAAAAAAAAACAGTATGCATGATTATCAGTAAACAACCAGTCAAAATCAAAGGATCCAATGTGTTTTTAAACGGAGCAGAAATAGAACTAGTCTCCCAGTTCAAGTATCTTGGACTCGAACTTGACTTTTAAGAAACACATTAAGAAAGTATCCAATACCGTTAAATTCAACTTGCACAATTTTAAACAAATCAGACCTTTCTTAACTGTCAATGCTGCAAAGTCATACCTCCACTGTATGATTCTATCCCACATTGAATACTGTTTGACAAACTGGTCGTTTGCTTGTGCCACAAACCTGAAACCTATAAAACAGCTGTACAAGAGAGCTATCAAGATGTTTGACAGAAAGCCAAATTCATACCACCACTGTACCATCCTTTTGACAATTTTAAGTCTTTTTTAAAAAAAAAAGTAAAATGTGTTTTTTTTATAAATGTTTACATGGACTGCCCCCCCTCCCTTAGGGGAATTCATCCACACAAAACACACTGGACGCTGCACTAGGTTAGAAACCAGAGGAGACTGTGAGGTCCACCGTAGACGGACCACTTTTGGACAAAATGTCCTCTCCATTAAAGGCAGCTCATTGTGGAAGAGCCTCCCTACTGAGATACGGGATTGTCCCACTCTCAATAGTTTTAAAGGTCAACTCAAAGAATGGTTGAGAAACAAACAGACGTGCAATCACCGCTAAATGCACTTTAACACAGGGGTATCTCCTCTTGCACTTTAGGTAGCTCTTGTATCATCTCTTGCACTTTACATGTCGTTGCTGCTATAGTGTACTGCCATGTGGTAAATATGTGTGTATGCTGCTCTTGCTCTTTTGCACTTTTTGCATATCATGTATTTTGTTTTTACCATGTTTGTAAAATGTAATTTTCTTCAATGTTTTATGTGAGGAACTGCGGATGGAAATTAGCTCAAAGCTAAATCTGGCACTGTTACGCTTGATACATTTGAATGTTTTAAGTGTTCATTACTGTGCATTGTCTCTGCCAAATAAACGATTAAATAAATAAATAAAAATAAACAGTTAGATAGTCCATCATTAAAATGTTTCCTGTATCTGTTAGGCACCTGCGGAGGAGGGGGGGGCCGTACAGGACGGAGCCAGCCACTGACCTGAGCCGCTGGAGGCTGAGTAGTGTGGAGGGCCGGCAGACATGGCGCTATGTGGAAGACCAGGACCCTCCCGACAGAGAGCAGACCATGCTGGAGGCACATTCTCTAGGCCTGGACACGGTAGGCTTTGAATATTTATTCTTCTTGTTTTAAATGGCACGAAAGGGAGATGGGTTTGTGATTGTTATGCAACACGTTTTGCATTGCACTCTGGGTTCATTTAGGTTGATTATTTCTTGACAGTTTCTACAACAGTATAAAACAGAGACACTCAAATATGGTATTATACAGTGACAATGAAACATTTTAATTAGGGCTGCACCAGTTGTAAAAAATAACTAAATGCAATTATTTTTGACTCATTGCGATATGATCCGCTATACAATAGGATGTTATAATTTCTGAAACATTCTACCCATTATTTTTTGATAAATATATTAAAATGATGTGTGGTGTGTTCTTTTAAGAAGATGTTTACATATTTTTGCCTTTAGCAAATATTGCAGATACTGAGATTTGGATATTGTACATGTCCATATTGATAACATTTTTATAAATGTGTGCAGCCCTAGTTGAAATAGCTTATGAATTCAGGTGTAGCCCTGGAGATATCCTTCACATCAAGCAAGGAACGAATAGACTTCTGTGACTTACTTGTTTTTACTGGATAGAATAAAAACTTGTATTGGTTCCTGTCAATAGATGCCAAAGTGGTTGAAAGACCCCTGAAATGTATCGCTTGAAACTGGTGTTAATTCAGGTGTTCTTCTCTCCGCAGAGTCAGTTTGTGTCTGAGTCCCCGGCTGCCCACACGGCTGAAGAGGCCGCTCTGAAAGGAATGCACTTCTACAGCCAGCTGCAGGCAGAGGACGGTCACTGGGCGGGGGACTACGGCGGACCCCTTTTCCTGCTGCCAGGTAAACCAAATCATCCTCCTCCAGGTCCCTATATGTGACACTTTTCTCTTCAGCAGCTTTTCCTGTGTCTTTTCCTGTAAGAGATACATTTCATTTAAAGCCACAGTGTTTATCATTTGGCCTTGTAATCTTTTTTAAGACAATGTGCCAGACAGAAAACTGAAGACATCAGGGGAGATGATTTCTGAAAATTATAGAACACATTGTAAAAAAGAAATTATCTCTATGTGGTATGTAATGATGACAAATATCTTTACATCATTTATTATTACTTTAATTTATTATGTTTGTTTTAATATTTGATTGTATTCTTAAATGAAGCAACTGTCCAAATTCTGATTCTGATTCTGGTGATCAATTTTCCAAGTCTGATCCCCAAAACATTTCTCATGCCTTTGACTTTGTGATTAACATGTTAAACATTTTCTGTCACTGAAAAGAGGTTCATATTTCATCTGTCAGTGAAAATAGTAATGTCATTACAGCAGTAATCTAGAAAGGTATTTTAATCTGGATTCATCTTCAAATAGGGAAACATGAATGTTTTTAGTCCTATTTAGAATACAGGGTAGTGGTGCTCTTAAGCCTCTAGTGGTTGAAATAAGTGTTACAACAACAAAAGATGTTTTTATCAGCTCTAAATAAAAAGGAGAGAAAAAAACTATTAAGAATCAGACTTAGAAAATATCTCAAAGAGGATACGTTTTTGTTACGCTATAACACTAAATAAAATGCAGCAGGTGATTTTATGACACCTGTTTGTGTTCTTGTGTGTCTCTCTGTCACTGTATTGATGTTCATGTCTGTGCTCAGGTCTCCTGATCACCTGCCATATCGCTAAGATCCCTCTGCCCTCTGCCTGGCAGAAAGAGATGGTGAGGTACCTGCGCTCTGTGCAGCTAGCAGACGGAGGCTGGGGTCTGTAAGTACAAATATCTATATATAAGCATTTGACATGCCATCTCATTCAAGTGCTTTTACTTTAACATGAGGTCACGTGTAAGTGAACTGCAGTAGGCAAAGGGTATTACGCTTTGCCTAGTACCGTTTCATTAAAGGGGAATTGTGTCAATAATCTATCATAGTCTGTCACTTTCCATTATAGGGTCAGTCTTTATCATGAAATATAACGTTTATAACACATACTTGTTAATAAACTGTTACAGGAAGTGTCCATTCTTTCCCACCGCTGAGACAAACCTCTAAAATTCATGGTTAGACTCTCTGAAATATATTTATTATTGTTGATGTGTTTTGTTTTTCCCAGACACATTGAAGATAAGTCCACTGTGTTTGGCACGGCGCTGAGCTACATCTCACTAAGGATTCTGGGAGTAGAGCCTGATGATCCAGACATGATTCGAGCCAGGAACAACCTGCACAGCAAAGGTGGGAAGTGGGAAATAATAAGTGGAAATCATCCCTAAAAACACAATGTCAGTTATCGTCTCATATATAATTATATCTTTATATTTGTACATCTCAGAGACTGTAAGAATAGTTATATAAATGCAGTCCATAGCAATTTTATGTCTCATTGGTTATTATTGAATTGTCGTATTTTAAAAGAGGCAAAGAATTATTTTGAATACAGTAACTATATTTGAGCAATACACAGTATATCGGCCATTGGCTGGCCTCTTCTCTAAGTATAGCCAGCAGCCATTGTAAAACTCATATTGATAGACTACTATTAACCATGTCAGTTATTTATGTTAATAGTTGAATACTGACGCTGTCTGTGTTTTTTATTTTTCTACAGGTGGCGCTGTGGGGATTCCCTCATGGGGTAAATTCTGGTTGGCCATTTTAAACGTGTACAGTTGGGAAGGAATGAACACACTGCTGCCAGAGATGTGGTGAGTTCTAACATCCCATAATGTCCTCTCATACCCACCAGGCATGCTAAGATGACACTGAAAAAGCTTCAGGATCTCAGTTCAGGTTAGAGTAAATACTCAAAATACTTTTCTTGCATTTTCTGTCACTAAACAATAAAAGGAGATGTTCATTCACTGAAAATTGCAACCTCTCTTCATCTCCGTTATTCATGCAGACAAAATAATGCAACATATCACACAAAATACTACCGTTATTTCAAAGCAATTTACTAAGCACATCAAAAAACACACGCTCCCCTAAGAAAGGGCTGTGGCCATAAAGTGATGCATTTGTTTTGACATATTTACAGGTTGCAAAACACATATTTTTTTAAATAATGATCAAAATATATCACAAACAGTGTACAGGTTTGTCAGCAGGTGGAGACATACTATCAAAGGAGTGGAGAAGAAAGGGTCCTTTTTGTTTCTCATTTAAACCGTAGGGTGACAAAGTTTTCTATGTATACAACGTTTTTTTCTGGTTTATCAATTAGTTTCTTTCAACTCTCTCATTGCTACATTTCTGCGGCTATGTTATGTCTGTAACCACTGTTTGATGGTGTGTATCTCCATAATGCCTTCATGTGATTCTTCTCCTTCAAAAAAAAAAATAGATATTGCAAAGAAAAATACATGTAAATGTTTTAATGATGTAATACTTATCTGTCTCAGGCTGTTCCCCTCTTGGATGCCTGCCCACCCCTCCACCCTGTGGTGTCACTGCCGCCAGGTGTACCTCCCCATGAGCTACTGCTACGCTGTGAGGCTGTCTGCAGAGGAGGACCCGCTGGTCCTCAGCCTCCGACAGGTGCAGACCCTTCTCCTCCACCAGGGGGCGTAATGAGCTCAATGGTTTAACACTGTCAGAGGAGGGGCTTTCCATTCCTTTTTTTGTTGTGTATTTAACTCCCAAAGCTAAATGTAGATAATATGTTTGTTTTTTGTCCAACAAATAGCAAAAGATATTTGATCTACTCAGAGACAAGCTGGAATATATACATCAGCAAAATTGACTTTTTTGCTCTATAATTATTCAAATGTCAGCAAAATTGTTGCCAATTTATTTAGTTACTTTAAAGGTGGGGTAGGTAATTTTGGAGACCAGCTCGAGATCGCTAGAATTTGAAAATACACAGCCGGAAAAAATCTGCCACTTCCTCACAGAGCCCCTCCTCCAACACACACGAACGCGCACATGACCAATGAGGGCATGAGATAAGTTTGTGCACAGATGGAAGGCTGACAGGCAGGTAGGCCATCCAGTTATTTTAGCCGGGCCGGCTCAGATGATTGGTCGTGCTTTTTACAGTACTACGGCTTCCACAGATGACATTTTTTAATGGATTTTTTGTCAAAGCACTTAAGATATTCATTGCTATCGGGATGTTAAGAGCATTCCATGGAATATAACAAAAAGTGTATCTCGAGCCGGTTTCTCAAACTTACCTACCCCACCTCGTATTCAATAATTTACAAGTTACTTTTTGTTTCAATGGTAGTAAAAGTATATGTCATGTTGTTGTTGTCAGTACTTATAGTGCGAAAGTGTCTTTATACAAGGATTAAAGGATCATTCTCTGTCATTCTGTAAAACAGGGTTACTTAACGAAATGCGGATGCGGTCTATTTATGCTACACAAGAAAACCATGACAAAACAAAGTGGAACAAAACAGTTCCTGTGGCTCATTTTTCGCATTTTTTCAAAATCCTGCCTCTGAAAGATGTGATAAGGCTTTCTTTATTCTAAGGACTTCTTTTGAGTTGACACTTAAACAGTTATTTAGACAGTCTTGGTGTGAAATAAGATATAAACCACTTTTTCTTTAGATATAAGATGATCACAAGAAATATATGTACATTCGCAATATGTTTATTCACATACACAAACAAATTGCTCTTTGTTTTTTCTAGGAGCTTTATGTCCAAGACTATGCCACCATTAGCTGGCCCGCTCAGAGGAACAATGTGGCATCATGTGACATGTACACCCCTCACAGCACGCTGCTCGACGTCGCCTACAGTAAGTGTCACCACACTGGGCAGCAATAATAAACCAACACCTACACAAGCACGTAATGGCCCTTTTCCACTGCTTAATGTCATTAAAACTACCATGTGTAGCTGATTCAACACGTTTTAGCATAACAGGAATACAAATAAATAAATACAAATAAAATAATTTAAAAAAAGACTAAAGTACAAACTTTAGTAAATGCACCTTTTTACTTTCCACCACAGCCATAAATACAGGATAGAAAAACAATTGATATCAGACTTAGAAAATGGATTACCAGATGTTCAATTCTTCTCACTTGCATCTCAGTCAATCAATCAATCAATGTTTATTCATATAGCCCAATATCACAAATGTTACATTTGTCTCAGTGGACTTCACAGTTTAAACAGAATATCAGTATGACAATACGACACCCTCAAGTCCTTGAGGCAGTCTTGAATTGTATTTAGATGATTGGATTCATCAGGCTTGATGGATAAATATAGTTGAGTATCATCCGCATCACAATGGAAATGTACAGAATGATTCCTTATAATATTGCCTAGCTAAGCAATGCACTCAAGTTAGTAATAATACAGGGAATGAAAATATTTGGCATATTTCTGGCAACAAGATGTTTTTTCAGACTGATAAATGAAGAAGTGTTTTTAATGGGAATTTCCCTAAGAGTTGCTCTGTAAATGACCCCCTAACCTTGTGACTCTGTCCCTGTGTCCCTGCAGTGGTGCTGAATGTGTATGAAGCCCATCACAGCACCATGCTGAGAGAAAAGGCTGTCAAAGAACTTTATGAACACATCGAGGCCGACGACCGTTTCACCAAGTGTATCAGCATTGGACCGGTAGTGTATACACAGATACACCAAACACAGATTGAATAGAGTATTGGATATGTGTATGCTTGACACAGGATCAAAAACACTAACTTATTTCCAAAAGTGTTCAGATCACCCTATATGAACCGACATTTAAAAAGAAATAAAGGGTGTGAAAATGGAGTATTTCATTGTTGTCTTCAGATCTCCAAGACCATCAACATGCTGGTTCGCTGGTATGTGGACGGGCCCTCCTCTCCGGTCTTTCAGGAGCATGTGTCTAGGATCCCAGACTACCTATGGTCAGTCAGTCCATCTCTTACAACTGTTTTACTAACTAAACACACTTCTGTTCCACAACTGATCAGAATAAGGTGTTTATGTGTATGCCTATAAATGAAAGTGTTATATTAAAAACTGTCCGATCCCTAAAAACTAACATTAAATCCTCTGTGTTCCAGGTTGGGATTAGATGGAATGAAAATGCAGGTGAGAGTTAGTTTTCTGCTCCTTTTCTATATTGGGAGTTAGGGTTAGTTTTGAAGCTGTATTAAGTAAAATGATAGGGGTGTCTTGCCATAAATGCTCATGTTTAGGAACAGTTGAGCTGCTCAGATGTCCTGTAGGAGCTCTTGGTAAAAATACTGCTTAGCCGGTTAGGGTGCAGTTAATTGGCGGAAACATATGGATGGACTTAAAACATTGTTAAAACTCAAATCAACTTTTTACCCTTCAATTACATTCTTTTTATTTACTTGCTGGTTCCATACTTTGTGTTTTATCCTGCAGAAATAGTTTTAGTTCAAGTTTAACTTGAGTGTTTGACCACTTTCTCCTTTTTTTCTTGCATAGGGGACCAATGGATCTCAACTCTGGGATACTTGTTTTGCTGTACAGGCTTTCCTTGAGGTAACACACCTTGAAGTAGTAGAATTTGTACCAAAATAAAAACTAGGGCCAGAAGATGGTTAGCTTAGCTTAATGCAAAGACTGGAAAAGAGAAAAAAGCATTCCTGGGTTTTTCAAACACAAAACAACACTTACCATCACCTCTAAGTCACTCATTATTGTGGTTGGAATTGTTGTTTTTAAAGGAGACATGTCATGGCCATTTCCACTGATCATAATTCCATTGTTGAGGTCTACTAGAATAGATTTATATTGTGCAATTTTCCAAACTCACATTGGTTTCTCATACAGCATCTCTGTAAACTACGTGTATTCACTGAATTTCACTCTCTGCCTTTAACGGCTCGTTGGAGCTCCAATAGCTCCAGCCCCCACCCTCCCTGTGAGCACAGTGTGCTCTGATTGGTCGGGACGTTGTGAATCGCGCTGAGCTCCGTGGAGCTGTTGTTTCCTTGTTTAGAAACACAGCCAAACACAGCCAAACTCATCCTGAGCACACACAAAGTCACAGCCGAAGTAAAAACAATAAGTGTGGCTTGATATTGAGTAAGAAAAAGGTTGATAAACGCTGTGAGAATGGGTCTGCAGAGAGAATGGGTCTGCAGAGAGAATTTCGCCGCGATCCCAACTGTCTGTTATCAGCCTGCAGCCAGGGAGGAGAAATCAGCAGAGCTGCCTGTGTGTGAGGAAGTCCGTGGATTGGTCAATTTGGACCAATCAGCGGGGGCTTAACGTAACGGCTCCGTGGACGTAACGTAACGGCTCCACGGATTGGTCCATTTCGTTCCGGGTACGGGATTACATCATCCCGTACCCGGAAGAATCAAATGGGCAGTGACGTATCTCCAACGAGGCGTTTTGGGGAGGTATTTTCTGTGTTAGAGTTTTACTCGCGACAGGGTGTACTTTGAGGGTTTTGACTCTGCACACCGTTTACATGCATAAAAACCTTCATAACACACAAGGGGACGGGTAATAACCGGAAAAGCATGACATGTCTCCTTTAAATTGCGATAGGTATAACTATGTATAACCAGAGCAATTAAGACAACATCAAACATTTTTTCTGGATGGCCTAGAAAAAACATGTACCACTTGACTAAAACTGCATTGGGCCCAGTGGGATCCCTCGTGTCATTTTTCATAGATATAAAATTCCCTGGTAAAACAGAATGTTGTTGTCCCTTAAGGTCACGACAACTTTCTGAGCCAGAAACAAACAAACTGCACTTACACAACTCATATTTCTAAACATTTAAATATCACAATAAATACTAGATCTTTGGTCAATGTGTCATACAGACCTTGTTGAGATGTTTCCAAAAGCAGTATCTGACTATAATGAGTTGGGATTTTCAGGCAGGAGCCCAGAATAACTCCACATTAGCCGGGTGCCTCCGAGATGCCCATCAGTTTCTCACCATCACACAGGTACCAGCAACATCATTAAACACATTGCTAGTGCTTATTTAAGCTTCTGTTTTTTTTCCTGCTTAAAAACGTGTTAATATGAATTCAATTGATTTCCGCTTTTAACAGATACCTGAAAATCCTCCCGAGTATCAGAAGTACTACAGACAGATGAACAAGGTATTATAACACATGAAAAGACAGCAAGAATGGCCTCTGACAAAAGTGAATTTCCTAGCCTGTTGGCATGTATGTGTGTGCAAAAAGTTGTATCCCTTTGTTTTTCTTTATCAGGGAGGTTTCCCCTTCAGTACCCGGGACTGTGGCTGGATCGTGGCTGACTGCACAGCGGAGGGTCTGAAGTCAGTGATGCTGCTGCAGGAGCTCTGCCCCTCCATCAGCCAGCCGCTCCCCTCAGAGCGCCTGTGTGATGCTGTCAATGTGGTGAGTCTGCAGTCCATCAACCACTGATTCATTCCTTAAGTCTTAAGTCTTATTGGTAGTGTTATCCAAAAGAAAAATAATGTATCTTTTGGTAACACTGATAAATACGCATTTTCTTCCCATTAATTAATACCACTGTCATATCTAACCATATGTGTAAAGCTATGCAGAGTGTGAGGTAACTGAGAAAATAATGGACCCTGTAATTGTAACATTGTGTTAGGTGAACTCAGTACAACACAGGTGCATGCTTCAGTGAACTATAGTTTTGCAATCCTGACAGTATCTCACTTGTTTAACATAATGAATTAATTAATCTGCATTCTGAAGATGATGATAAATTAAATCCATTATAACTCTTGGCAAATGGGCCACATTTATCTAAAATGGTTCCAGTCTTTACAACCCCTAAAAGTGCTCTACATATACAACACATTCATATAGACTCTAGAGGAAGAAGATGCCATACAAGGCCCCACCTTTTACTTCCAATTAACGGAAGACAGCTCTACCTCCTAACTCATGGGACACATACTGCATGACAACTTTGGTAGTCAGGGTTCACCCAGACCCACAACATGCTATACCGAAACTAAAGACACTGTTAACATGGCAGATAGGCAGGCAGAGGTGTTACTACCATAGAGCGTCCAGGCTTGTGCTGACTGAGGCATGGACAACACCATAATATACATTTGTCAGGTGTGAATAACTCAGCATTTCACATTGAAGATACTGCACTGGTACCAATTCCAATATGAATATATCATTTGAGACTCAGTTTTCAGGCTCAAAAGTGACTCCAACCTTTCCAATAATCCAGAAGTGAGAAAAATATATGAAAAAACATGCATATATAAAAGAAATTCATTCAACATCTTTCCACATTGATGCATGTGCCTTCGTGTATGTGTTTTTTTCAAGAAAAGAACAAAAACGTATTTCCTTGATGGAACAAATTAATTATGTTATATTAGAATATGGATTTCCTTCTTCGTGAGACTATTTTAAAGGTAAGATAACAGCAAAAATATGAATAGACACAGGTTTATTTAGAATCTTCAAAGGTTAGAAAGTAAAGCAATGAATTAGCTGAAATGCTAGCTACTTACCTTAACCTACACCACCTGTTAGCTTGTGTCATACACTAGCATAGTGAGGACACAAGCTGCTGCGATAACAGGATTGAGGCAGGCAGACAGATGCTCAACTAAGGTTCATTATTTATTTACCTTAATCAAGGTTAAGACACGGTAAGGTCCATTTCAGGGATTTCTTTAATCATTTCAATTCATTACAATTACAGGTACGAAGGATTTGTAAATCTTTCTTCTGCAATGTTAGCGTATCACAGCTCCTTCACCATGTGTCTATCTTCTCCTTGAAGCTGCTGAGCATGAGAAACTCTGACGGAGGATTTGCCACGTATGAAACTAAGAGAGGAGGGAGGCTGCTGGAGCTGCTCAACCCCTCCGAGGTGTTCGGTAGGTCTGCTGCTCTCACCATACACTCATGTGCAATATACCTTGGGTCATTTATTTACAATCTGTTCCGTATGTAGTAAACACTACCAGCTATTTCTATAATTTGATATGGTCCCTTTTTTTTATAAATACTGTTACTTTTTTAGTATGCAAGTCTATTCTCTTGACTTTATCTGCACTATACTTCTGCTGTTGTTATAATGTCAATGTCCCCGTTGCGGTACAAATAAAGGGATTCTGATTCTGATTCTGATTCATACTCTCTGAACCCATATGTTAACCGCAAGACATGTTCAGGCTTAAAAGAAAAACAACTATCGATTTGATTTTATATCATTATAAATCCATTGTTTGACGATTCACAAGGAATGACGTTAAAGGTCCCAGAGTTCTTGGAAACACAAAGAAGGTTTGCGTCATAACAGCATAATGGTGCATGGTGCCTATGAACTCCTCCGTGGTTACACAACCTGCAAATATGCAGATGTGAAACATGGAAACACATTTTAAACGTGACATTTCTATCTCCTTTCAACATCCAAAATCTGTAAAAAGCTATCCCGTACCCTCCTGATATGTGCAATGTAATGGCATTTTAAAGAGATTTTTAAAGGCCAATCAGATCATGTTTCCCTGTTGAAAAGAGGATGCAGTGAGTGTTGTGAAATGGGATGTTTTAAGCAGCTCTGCGTGTTTTCTCCTCACACACAGGTGACATCATGATCGATTACACCTATGTGGAGTGTACCTCTGCAGTAATGCAGGCTCTCAGGCACTTCCAGACGGCCTACCCAGAACACCGTGCAGAGGAGTTAAGGTATACTGGTAGAATATAGAATAGAATAGACAAACTTGATTGATCCCAAGTTGAGGAACTGTTTTGTTACAGAGCATTGCACATGAGTTGAAAATATAATAAAATATAAATAAATATAAACAGTAAATACATACATATCAACATTAGAATTATAAATATCAACAATATGAAGTATACAGAATAAGTTAGAGAACACTGTCATAGGCCTACTTACTATTAAATAAAATACAATATACTTACATATGACTTTTTTTAAATTACATTCTACACACATACTTTATACATTTTATTTACTCAGTTCCTCATAAATGCTTGGCTTGCCAAAAAGATTCAAAATAAGATATTAGCACCATATCTACAGAAAAAAAGAAGTAATAGAAAATCCAATCTGTCAAATTCATCTTTAACTTTGTTTATTGTGCGTTTTGAAGGAAATACGAGTCTGCAACCACAATTCTACATTTAAGAGGCACAATTAGTTACATGATATTATGTATCATCAACATAATATCCATGAATTAGATTTTTATCCTCAATACCGGTACAAAGCTACCCTTCTCATCGGATAGAATGAGTAAAACATACATTAAAGGTGGGGTAGGTAATTTTGGAGAAACCAGCTTGAGTGCGCTAGAATTTGAAAATCTGCCACTTCCTTATAGAGCCCCTCCTCCAACACACACGAACGCGCACATGACCAATGAGGGCACGAGATAAGTTTGTGCACAGATGGAAGGCTGACAGGCAGGTAGGCCATCCAGTTATTTTAGCCGGACCTTCTCAGATGATTGGTCGTGCTTTTTACAGTACTACAGCTTCCACAGATGACATTTTTTTATGGATTTATTGTCAAAGCACTTAAGATATTCATTGCTATCGGGATGTTAAGAGCATTCCATGGAATATAACAAAAAGTGTATCTCGAGCCGGTTTTTCAAACTTACCTACCCCACCTTTAAGTTATAAAAAGCTTCAAACTAAGATGGCTAAGTTCAGTTCATAAGTCTGAAAGTGCTTTAAAAACAAGTGAAGGCAGAGATCCATTATACTGGGAAAAAAGATATGCTCACACAAGCACATTCTTCAAAATCAATTCTCCTGTTTAAGTTTTAGAGGAATCTTTGAAACTCAGTATGAGAGGGGCAAGATCTCTGTTGATGTTTATTGATTTGTTTCTCAGGTCCACTCTACGAGAAGGACTGGAGTACTGCAGGAAGGTGCAGAGGCCTGATGGATCATGGGAAGGGTGAGACTACAATTCCTTTTTTACTACGGGATATCCTAACTAATTGACAGTTCATGTTTAATGAAATAAATGATTTGCTTATTCTTAGGTCCTGGGGAGTGTGCTTCACATATGGAATATGGTTCGGCCTTGAAGCCTTTGCCTGTATGGGTCACGTCTATCAGGATGAGTACGTTTTCCAAACACTGAACAATTAGTATCACTTTAACAAACAGCCACACTATGCTCCTTCACCTGACATCCATCCTCTCTAAATCGACATACTTAATCACACTGCTGTGCCTCTGTTTCCAGCCATGTGTGCGAGGAGGTGCAGAAGGCTTGTCAGTTCCTGCTGGACCAGCAGATGACAGACGGAGGCTGGGGGGAGGACTTTGAATCATGCGAGCAGCGGCGCTATGTCCAGAGCAGCAGTGCCCAGATCCACAACACCTGCTGGGCTTTGTTAGGCCTCATGGCTGTCAGGTAAAGCAGCGTGACAACTCAAAGGCTGGGTGGTTACGCTGGGTCACAATGCAACTGGCACATGTATACAGTGTGTGGAAAATACCACATTACAATTCACATAGCACTGTAAGGGGTAGGATAGATAAGATTACAATATTTGTTTGTTTGTTTGTAGCCTTTATTTATCCAGGTAAAAAATCCCATTGAGATATGTTTAGTGTATTAAGAATAAGAGAATGCTATGGAAAAAAGATATGTCTCAACATTTAGTTTCAAAGTCATGTTCGATTGGTGATGTCCTCACTTCTTTTGGCAAGCTATTCTAGAGGCGAGGTCCATAGACACTAAATGCTAAAAGTATTCAGGCACTAGTCCATGGAGTGGTTTGAACACTAATATAAAAGGATCTTAACATCTATTCTAAATTTGAGGGAAAACCAATGAAAGGAAATTAGGATAGGTGAAATGTCTCTTGTCTTAGTTATTAAACTTGCTGCTGCATTCTGCAAGATCTGAAACCTAACTTCGAAAGGCCAGAAAGTGACCAAACCAGTTATCTAGTCTTTCAGTTTCTGCCTGGGAGAAAAACAGTTGAACGTTAGCAATATTTCTAAGGTGTTCAAAATACCTTTTTGTTGCATTACTGATGTGAAATTCAGAATGCCAATTCAGATCTGAAACTTATTCCTAGGAACTTGACATCTAGCGCTGATAATTAGTTAATGAGTAATTAGGCAAATTTCTCTCTGGATCTTTTGCTCTGATAAATGCATTTAACCAGGAAATCTTTAGGGCTGATATTATTTAGTAATACAGACAAGTAAAGTTGTGTATCATCAGCATAGCTAGGAAAAATAATCCAGTGTTTTCTGAGGATTTTTCAAGTGGCAGCAAATAAAAGAACACAGGTCCAGAAATAGAGCCTTGAGGAACCCCAGATGGGTGATATTTGCAGCTGTGGGTTTTTTAGGCACTTCAACAACGGCAACTCAACTCTGCACTTATCTTGCTAGTTAACGGTTAATGATCTATTTAAAATGGATCAGATCTTATTCAGAATTATCCTTTTTTTATATCAGCATTCCTGCACGATAAAAAAATGAATAAACCCCAGTTTTTCCTTTCTTATGTGCCATCTTCAAATAATGCCCCTTTCACACCGGCGCTTTTCCAGCTCCTGCTGGGAGCTAGAGCCTGAAAAGCGCCGGTTTTTCCTGTTCACACCGCAGTGGCGGCGCGTCATAGCTCCGGAATGCGGTTCACTTCCAGCTCCAAAAACTTGTCGGTCCAGAGGCAAGAGCTTTGGAGCTATGACGCGGCGTCACTTACGTCGAGGCGTGCAGGAAACCTTACTTTGACCATCCGTTCGCTGTTATTGATCATTGTGGTGAGCAGGCAGACGTTTTGTTTGTTATTATAGCAGCTATCGGATGCAATTAATACATGGGCTGCACAGGTTGTCATGTCCGACTATCACAAGTAGAATCATAATGAAAAATACGTCGGTAAAAAGTGCCTGTAGAAAACGGCTTAGCAAGTAGTCAGTTTAGCTTCGGTTGCTATGCTAACATCACCCATGTTATACCAGAGAAACTTTCATAACAGCGTTGTGATGCCAAACAGCGTCAATTCAGACTGACACACATTCACTTAAGGGGAACTGGGGATATGTATCAGCTGCTTGTGTGACAGTCAGACAGTGAATACTTTAGAGCCGTGTGAGCTAACCCGGAGCTAACGGGAGAATAAACTCCCGTGGAAGAGCAGCCAGCACTGTAGCGGTCGGTAAATGCCGCTGAAACACATTAATAAACAATGAACCACGGCACTCTGGAGAAAAGTATAAGGTTGGAGAAGTCGTTATTTAATTTAATCTGGCTTCGTATGATTAAAAGCAACACGATCGTCGACCCGACGCAGTCCCCGGCCCGTTGTTGTTGTGGGAGAAAATCTCTCGGCAGCTCTGGGCAGTGTGAACAGAGCGGGAGTTGAAAAGGGAAACCGGAGCTGAACCAGAAAAGCTCTCGCTAGGAGCTAGAAAGGGAAAAGCGCTGGTGTGAAAGCCGCATAAGTGAAATTCAACTCTTCTTTGATTGGTTTTGCTCTTGTTTATTAGGTGTTGCCTTTGATTGCATGTATGCTGTGCTCTTTAATGTGCTATGCTACAAAACAGAACTTTCAGTCAATAGTCAAATGTAATCAAATTGAATTGAACTGAATCCAAACAAAAGTCATTCATTTCAACCCTCTTGTGTGCATAACCAGACATCCCGATAGGCGGGCCATTGAGAGGGGAGTGCAGCTTCTGATTGACAACCAGCTGCCCAATGGAGACTGGCCACAGGTGGGTCAATGAGTCGCATACATCTTCATATACACTGCTTTCACTAAGCTTATACCAGTAATATCACAACTCATAACAAATCAATCCATGAAAGAATGAAATATAATGAGACGTTTATTATCTAATGTTTTTTTATTGTCCTCTCCAGGAGAATATTGCAGGTGTGTTCAACAAGAGCTGTGCCATCAGCTACACCTCCTACAGAAACGTCTTCACAGTCTGGACCCTCGGCCGCTTCTCAACACTTTATCCCAGCAGTCCATTGGCTGGAAAGGTCAAGCTGTGAATAATTGTATTTAAAACGTATCGGACTATGTGCCACAATAAGAATTGTGAATGCCTTGAAAGCAAATACCACAACAGCCATGAAGTTCAGACCATCATTGAAAATGGTTGTTTTATTTGTCAGCCTATAGGTTTTATGCTCATTTCTCACCTTCATTGACATTTGAAAACTTCTGCTGTGTTCTCAGAGTTTAATCCATCTGATAAGGAAACACATTTCATTCTTTGAATTACTTTCTGTGTTGACATTCCAGCAATGCTTTTCCAACAGGGCTACTCCCTACAATCATGTTGTAATAGCCTGCTGCTATCCAAGGATGTGCTTTGAACCTGTATGTCTATGTTGCCTGAAATCCTCAGTCACTTCCCTAGCATTTCCATTGAGAATAAATACTTTTTCTATAGTATAATCATGACTTGATGTGTTCTCAATGAATGTTCTTGACCATGTGACATTTTCTTGTTTGTGCTAAGAACATTATCAAACTGTAGTGCATACACTGTATGGATATTTGAGCAATTCCTCAGAACGCATTTAGCTGAACAATAATGTTTTTTAATTGTATTGATGTTTTGAGTGTGACAGCGATGTTTTAACCTTCATTCAGACTCTGAAGTAGTGAGTAGGTTGACAAAGCAGAACTTTTTTTTTCTTTTGGTGAAGGAACTGGGGTTACGTATTGTAACCCAGCTTCTATGAGTATAGGCGCAGCCCTCTAAGGCTATCGCTATTGGGTAATCCCACTGCGCATGCGCAGCACTGACAGACTTAATCCACGCCCACCTATGACGTGGGCCCCACCTACGGCCTCACTTCCGTATAAATAGGAAGTAGGCCCGACCAACTGCTCCCACGCCAACAGCTTTTCTTCAGCTATTCACGGAGCCAGTGGGGCCCGAACCTTAGAGGGCTGCGCCTATACTCATAGAAGCTGGGTTACAATACGTAACCCCAGTTCTATTTCGTATAAGGCTTCGCCCTCTAAGGCTATCGCTATTGGGTTAAGGGCGAAGCAGGATGTAGTCCACGCCCCACTGGTCCGTCCGTTACCAGGAGCACAAAAAACACACCTACTCAATTTAATAACCCATGTCCATTGCGCCATGCGTAATGGAGCATCACAGTCCCTGGAAATGTAGCATTTAAAATGAATATTCTCCATGAAGGAATGAAGGTGAATACCTGTCGTTATAAAAAGTAGAGACCAAAGTCCCACTTGTTACAACGAAAAAAGAGAGGAAACAGGGCAGCTCTCTGAGTGCCGACAGGCAGGAGAGAGGGCACACAGTTGTGTCCCCGACCTTACTCACTCTGACAGGACATTCAGTACTGAGTGTGTCAGAGAGGAATGGGAGACATCCCTCAAATAAAAACGAATAAAAGAACAGGGGGAAGACCAAGAAGCAGCAGTGCAAATGTCTTCCACTGTCGGTCCTCCGTGCAACACCATAGAGGTTGATACAATTCCTCTGGTGCCGTGCGCTTGATGTTCTCCGGAGGATCCGCCCCAGAGGAGACATACGCCTGTGACACAGCCTCACACAGCCAGTGTGACAGGCGTTGTGCAGACAGAGGCTGCCCCATTGAGCGCTCTCTGTAATGCACAAACAGACGCTGGAAACTGCGCAACACAGCCGCGCATGCCGTATAGCATGACAGCGCGCGCACGGGACGGAGGAGATGAGATGTGGCTTCCTCCTCTGATGTGTGAGGAGGAGGAAAAAAACCCTCCAAAGTTATCACTCTTGATCTAAAAAAGAGACCTGCGATAATTTTTGGCATAAAAACCAGGCTAGGGCGCAAAACAGCTAAGCTGCCATCTCCTTGGATCTGGAGACATGACGGAGCCACAGAGAGAGCAGACAAATCACTCGCCGCTTTTAGCTGATGTCAGAGCCAAGAGCAGAGCTACTTTGGCTGACAAGAACTTTTAGGGGGACCTGATCTAAAGGTTCAAATGGAGCTTCTCTCAGTGCGCGTAACACTAAAGCCAAATCCCATTGAGGCGCCAAAGCGCGTGACACCGGTCTGAGTCTCTGTACTCCCCGTAGAAAACGTTTTGTCAGAGGGTGACTAACACCGTGCTGACACCAAACCTACGTGGCAAGATGAAATGGCAGCAGCATATGTTTTGACCGTGCTATAAGCCAGTTCCTGTCCAGCAACAGCTGGAGGAACGACAGCACGTGAGGCAGGGTGACCGTAACGGGGTCCAGGCTTTTCCCTACATGTCAAACGGAACGCTGTCCATTTGGCTGTGTAGGATGCTCTGGTGTGTGAAGCAGCTGCGCTGATCGTACACCTCCCTGGCGATTTATGTAGGCCGCCGCTGCTTTGTTGTCTGTTCGAATCAACACATGTTGATTGTACCGCAACGGGGCGAAAAAATGCTGGATTACTCTCCATACGGAGAGTAATTCCAGCACGTTTATATGGAGAGACATATGAACCGGCCACTGTCCCCCCCCTGCCTGCGACATGCACGTTCCTCAGCCTGCGAGAGATGCGTCTGTGAACACTGCGGTGTGTGACGTCACTCTGCTCAGGGGCACCCCCACTGACAAGACGTGGAGATTTTTCCAATAGGTTAAAACCAAACCCACGGAAGGAGGAATGTACACCATGCGTCTCCTCTGACGCACAGGGTCGATGCGCAGGCGAATAAACCACCTCTGGAGTCTCCTCAAGTGAAGGAGACCCAGGGCGATCACCACGTGACCAGCTGACATCATGTCTAAAAACGGTATCACGGAGAGGGCTGTCACCGCCCCGCGGGGTGTGACGCGCCGGAGGAGAGCTGTCACTTTCTCCCCTCTCCGCTGTGAGAGTCGCGCTCTCATGCGGGCTGAGTTCAATTCCACTCCCAGTTAAATGATAACCTGGGAGGGAAGAGGACAGCTCTTCTTCCATTTGATAATGAAAACCCAGGCTTGACAGATGCTCCAGCACCTGTTTGATCGTCAGCACGGGAAAAGGCCATTCCCTTGTTGAACACTGACAGATCGAGGATGGGTCTCATTCCCCCCGCCCCGTCTCCTTCGGGACCAGAAAATAGCGGGAGTAAAAACCCCTGATTTTCTTCCCCTTGAGGAACCCTGGAAAAAGGCTTCCTTTAACAGAGTTCCTGCCGCTCTGCACGGAGCGCGAGACACTGTTCCTGGGATGATAGGGTTCCCTGTTATCCCGTAGAACTGCGGGGGGGAGAGGCGAACTGCAGAGACTACCCTCTGCCCATCCGCCTCTTATCCATCTGTCCATCAGACACACACGCCGCCACCCTGAGTAATACTCTGATAGCGCTGGGTGTACATTCTCTGGATGTGCTGTGGTTGGTGGCAAACCACGCCAGAGCCCTCCACACACTGCATTTCACACAGGCTCTCATTATGTCGCCGTTTTTAGGAGAAGTCTCGTAAACCGCGCGTTCACGCTCAACACCACTAAGGGATGAGCGGAGGTGTGTGCAGTGCTGTCCCCACGAAGCGTAATAATGGCCCCTTTGATCCATTAATGGAGGGGGCGTAGTCATCCGACTTGTGCCCTCCACTCGGACCCAGGACTCAAGGCTTCGTCCACGGAGTAAACCTCCTGGACTGCCCAATCATCCTCGACCGCAGCAGCAGCAGCGAGAGCGTCCGCTCTCTGCTGTTTGAGGGCCAGAGGGAGATGGGTACCTAGTGAGCATGACACCTGGGGGGCGTGAGCTCATTACGACCGTGGGTAGGAGGTACGTCTGAGACAGAGGAAAAATCCGTGCTGCCTAATAACCGTACGGTTTAAGGTAGACGAATTGAATAGTAAGCCCTGCTGTTTTATTAACTGATAAGTTTAAAAAACCCAGCCGGCTTAAGCAGCGAGCCATGCTGCCAAGTAACCAATAGGATATTGGCAGCCGGCTTAACCGGGGAGCCTTGCTGCATATTACAGTACTTCCCTCTGTCCATCGAACACACGCGCCGTCCACTCAGCGCGCGAACCTGTTCTGGATGTGCTGTGGTTGTCATGGTGACGAGCCACGCCAGAGTCCTCCAGACGCTGCATTTCACACAGACTCTCATTTATGTCACGTTTAGGAGAAAAACTCGTAAACCGGACCTTGAGGTGCGTTCACGCTCAACACCCCTAAGGGATGAGCGGAGGTGTGTGCAGTGCTGTCCACACTGTAATAATGGCACTCGTGGGCTTATTACAACCGTGTGTAGGAGGTAGGTCTGGGACAGAGGAGAAAAACCGAGCTGCCTAAAAACCAATAGGTTTTAAAGACAGCAGATTTATGCAGCGAGCCATGCTGCCTATAACCGAAAGGTTAGGGGCAGCCGGCTTACCCGGTGGGCCTTGCTGCATAATATTAACCATCTGTCCACCGAACACACGCGCCGCCCTCTGAGTAATACTCTGAGAGCGCGCGACATGCTCTGGAAAGTGCTATGGTTGTCATGGTGACGAGCCACGTCAGAGCCGGAGGGGGCCTCCACACGCTGCATCTCACACCGGCTCTCACCCTGTCTCTGTTTAGGAGTGTTAAGGCTCGTAAACTGGACATTGAGGCGCGTTCCCGCTCAACCCTGCTGAGGAATGAGCGAGGTGTGTGCAGTGCTATTCACACAGTGCGTAATAACAGCCCTGGGCTCATTACGACCGTGTGTTGTAGGCACATCTGGGACAGAGGAAAAAACCGTGCTGCCTGCTAACCGACAGGTTAGGAGCATCAGGTTTAAACGTCAAGCCCTGCTATCTAATAACCGCCTGGTTAAATACAGCATGGCTTGTGCCGCGAGCCCTGCTGCCTGCTAACTGACAGGTTACAGCCGGCTCAAACGGCGAGCCCCGCTGTCTGTTAACCGACCGGTTAACCCCAGCTGGCTTATGCACCTCCACACGTTGTATCGCACAGCGGCTCTCATCATGTCTCCGTTTAAGAGAAGGCTCGTAAACCGGACATTGAGGCGCGTTCACGCTCAAACTCGCTTGAGGAATGAGCGGAGGTGTGTGGAGGTATATCTGTGACATAGGAAACAAGCCCGTGCTGTCTAATCAACCGACAGGTTTTAAAGACAGCCGGTTTGTGCCGCGAGCCCTGCTGCCTAATAACCGATAGGCTATGAGGCAGCCGCTTATACAGCTTTTTTATGTCATCCGGAGGAGAGCTCTCCTGAACCGGGGGAACGGGGAGATCTCATTAGGCGGCTGCCTTTCCGATGATCTCCGGGAGTTCCTGGAGAATACCGCCTATACGGCAGCTCCGAGATGGCGGATAGAGGGACCCGGTGACCCGGTGTCAGCCCGGCAGCCGAACCCATAGGCTCGGCTGTCGGGCTGACAGTCTCCCCCGTCCGGAGGAGAGGGAGGATGGGGCCGGGGGAACCACATGGTGATCCGTGACTGCTGCCCGCCACTCGGATCCAATAAATCAAG